TAGTAGTAGTAACAGTAGCAGCAGTAGTAGTGGTAGTAGCAGCAGTAGTAGTAGTTGTAGTAGCAGCAATAATAGTAGTAGAAGTAGAAGTAGTAGCAGTAGTAGTAATAGTAGCAGTAATAGTAGTAGTAATAGTAATAGTAGTAGTAGTTATAGTAGTAGTAGTCATTGTTGTAGTAAAGTAATAGTAGTAGTAATAGTAGTAGTAGTAGTCGTAGTCGTAGTCGATCCATGACTCTCCACGGCCGACGCAATACCAGAGGAGGTTCCAGAGGCTCAGCATGACGAGATTGACATAGGGAAGGTGTCTCTGAGTGTGTGTAGCACCAGGAGTCGCCCCTGGAGCATCCCTGGTGCTCTGGCTCAGTCAGCCTGACTGTGAGTGATGCAACTCAACCTGCACACAATCTGTTCAGCCTCCTGCCCCCCGGGAGGAGGTATGGGAGCTGCTTCATCCACCAGGCTGTTAGGATGCTGAACTCTCTCCCCTCTCTAACCACCAAGCTGCCAGAAACCAGGAAGAAGGAATCTGAGTCTTCCTAAAGAAGAAAACTTGGACTTTTCCATTTATTATTATTATTATTAATATTATTATTATTATTATTAATTTAGAAGAAGACAATTTCAATTTGTCATATGTTTCATATGAAAACTAACAATAAACTAATTTAATTGAATTGAACTGACTAGTCTACCCCAGGGAAAGCTCACTGTCCCTGGGTAGAGGACCAGGAGTCTCCCCTCACCGGAGGGTTCGGGTTAATGTGCTGAAGCCAGAGTACCAGAGAGGCTCCAGGGGCCATTCCTGGTGTTACATCCAGAGACATTGAGCCTTCCCTGGGTCAGACTAGTCAGGGTGGGCCCCTGGAGCCTCTCTGGTACTCTGGGCCTTTTCTTGTTTGGCAGGGGCCATTTTGAATTTTATGTACTGGCCACTAGGGGGCACCCAAACTTGTATCCATGGATTTTTGAAAATCTTAGGCCTGTATCTAACAACCTGCCAAAAATCTAAAACTTTTCCAGAAGTGCACAATTTTCATGAATAGCCCCTGGGTGAAGTCCTTATGTCCTCCACACTCCACTCCTGTGTTTAGTTTATTTACCAAGAATGCACCTTTGGATCCTTACCCACAATGTATGGCAGCTTCATTTTAACAAATTAAATTTAAGCAGTAAAATGCATTTTAATCAAATAAAAGTCATTACACAATAAAGAATAAGTAAATATTTTTCCATTTTAACTACATTCTAGCGCAGGGGTGGGCAAACTTTTTGGCTCAGGGGCCACACAGGGTTCAAAAATTTAACGGAAGGGCCAGACAGGAGCAGATGGATGGAGTGGAGAGAAAATAATAACATGAGATATGTAGAAAACCTGAGCTTGAATTTCAATTGAAAGTCACTACAAAACATCACAACAAAATACCTGTCTTTCTAAAACTCTGAAAGTTAAATTATTAAAATACTTTTTTTTATTACTAACAGTTACTATTTAAAAACACTGAAAGTTCTGTTCTCCTTCAGGATCTTCTCATCATACTCTCCTCCTGGCTCTTTATTTCAAAAACAGTAGAAGATGCAGATCTACTTCTGTTCAATGTGCGTCCTCAGAGCCAAAACTCAACAACGACCAACGCAAGGACGGAACAGTGCCAGTGTGCCAGTCAGCGAGCAGCGTGTTATATTTGATCTGGTGCACATTGTTTATAATGAGTGTGTTTCCATGCACATCAGTATCTCGATTACGATCGGGTTTTTTGTGTCATGGCCCATGTAAATGCACTAATACTTTACTGCAATGTAAAGTTGAGTGCGAATGTGTCCAAAAGACAAATACTTCTGAAATACTTTCCTAATTGTGGCCGTCACCATATTTTCTTTAGCGCACCTCCACTGACCAAAGCGTGCGATTGTAAAACTCTCCAGTACAAGCCTAAACCCAACTAAATCTTTCCTGTATGATATTTTCTGATCTGTTGAATGTTATGACTCTGTGTACCTGAAGACTTCATCATACGTGGTCTACAAGTTTATCAAATTTTTCAGAACAGAAACAGTGCAGTGTTATGTCTCGAACACGTCTGCCTCACTCATGGTCCCAATACACCGACCGAGAATGACTCCTGTCATTATAGGCCGAAAGAACACTTTCCCATAAAGCATTGCGGCCAAAATAATAAGATGCACCTCAATGTATAGGCGAGTTTCAGCTGACGTCATTGTTATTAAAAGCCCACGTTGCATGCTGGGAAATATTTTGGTCGGAGGCAAGAAACACGGTAGCGGTCAAACACAGTGTGTAACCTTTGTATTTATCCCCAATAATGGTAAATTCCTGCTGCATTATCGGATGCACAAATAGAAGCACGGAAGAAGGAAAATGTCTTTTTCGTATTCTAAGTGAAAAGAACCGCTAATGGTGAATGAAACGGCTTTCAAACATTCGCAGAGCAAACGTAGAAGATCCTAGCAAACCGTGGACTCCAAGTTCAACAACACATCAAGACTCTTGGAGGTTTTCATCTTTTCTGCTGTGAATGGCCCAGGAGTTTCCACCAAGTCATTGTGGATATTGCCGAAGTGAATATTTGTCCAGGTATTTGGTGATTCCGACCAGAAATCTGGTTTGGTCCACCTTTTGTCGGGGTTGAAAAGGGTGATTTGGCTCCATCGATGCTTATGACCAATTTCTGGTTGAATCCTCTGGGGTCCTCTGCCGTTAGAGTGGATAAATAACCGGGATCAAAGCCCTTTACGTGCTTTCTTGCTCCGTCTGTCACGTTGAATTAGTGTTTCTTGCTGCCGACCAAAATAATTCCCAGCATGCAACGAACGCTTTTGTCAACAATGAAACTCACCTATTTGTAGTGCGCATCTACTGGGAAACGCCAGAAATGCAGGATAAATAAAACATTAACAAGGTTTATTACTATAATTTATTCAAGTTCGGCGGGCCAGATTAAATGGTTTAAAGGACCGCATATGACCCTCGGGACCCCTGTTCTAGAGGAGTGTGACAAAGTGATCTTTGGAGGAAGGATCCTTAAGAATGGACACAGAAAACATGAATGGAAGACTGTAGCAAACGTATTACCACTGAAATCAACCATTCTGAGAAGAATCTGGACCAGTTTGTCTCCGAACCCACAAATAAAAATTACCCCAACAATTCAAACCAAATTTAATAGGAATTTTATATGAATTCTATCTGGACTTCATCATTAAATCTCATGTTTAGTGAGATCTGCTCAATCTATTTTCTCGTAGACCTTCCTTTGTACACGTGGAGGAGCAGTGGCTCTACTCTGAGCTCCCATGTGACTGAGCTCCTCACCCTGTCTCGAAGGAAGCACCCAGACACCCTGCAGAGGAAATCTTGTCCAGAGCAAAACTTCAGAGCCTCAGGTTTACAAAAAGCCCAGCCGATTGTCTGAGCTCCAAAGGTTCAGAAACAGATTCAGTTTGAATTCATCATAGTCGGGCATTTAAAGAATAATAAGCCCAAACAGGGCTTTTAAAGGGTAAAGCATTGTTATTATTAAACTAAGAATATCTCCATGGAGACAAGTCAAGTTACGAGTCAGATCTGTGGAGAGACTATGGAGGAATGCATGTTTTCTGACAAAACATTGTTATTGAAAAAAGACAGAACGATAATGGTGAGACATCTATCACCAGCAGCCCCACACAAACAAGACTCTGCTACACATCAGACGCTTCACACACCAACACCACGAGTGTGAACACACGACGAGGAGAGGAGGAGGACGAGGAGAGGAAGAGGATGAGGAGGACAAGGAGAGGAAGAGGATGAGGATGAGGAGAGGAGGAGGATGAGGAGAGGAGGAGGATAAGAGGAAGAGAAGAGCAGGAGGAGGAGAAGAGGAGGAGGACGAGGAGAGGAGGAGGAGGAGGAGAGGAAGAGGACAAGGAGAGGAGGAGAAGGAGGAGAAGAGGAGCAGGAGGAGAAGAAGAGGAGGAGGAGAAGAGGCGCAGGAGGGGAAAGAGAGGAGAAGGAGAGGAACAGGGGAACAGAAGGAGAGGAGAAGGAGAGGGGGAGGAAAAGGAGAGAAGGAGGAAAGGAGCAAAAGGAGGAAAGGAAGAAGAGGAGAGGAGGAGCAGGAGGGGTGTGCAAAGAAGAGAAGGACGAAGAGTGTTCAGTGTGTAACTGGAGTGGGGGAGGGGAAGGGAAGTGGAACTTACCCATATTCACAGAACCAAAGAAACACACAGGAGCAGAACCAGAGGAGCAGACAGGAGCAGAAACAGAGGAGCAGACAGGAGCAGACAGGAGCAGACAGGAGCAGACAGGAGCAGAGGGCTGATTGTAGTAAGGGTCCGCCCAGGCCTGTGTGTGTGCGTGTGTGTGCGTGTGTGTGGCGTATGTGTGTCAGTGCAAATGACACTGTCAGGTGTGTCAGGAGAGTGCACGTGACCACCAGCATATACACGCGCGTATGCACGCACGCACACACACACACACACACGCACGCACACGCGCGCGCGCACACACACACACACACACGCACACAGAGTTCTAAGAGTTTAAAAAGGAAACGACTGATTTGTGAGCGTGATGACGCGCACACGCACGGCTCTGTGCACATCAGAGCAAGTCTGGACAGCCTCAGCACACTGATGCGCCGCAGCAGATCCCTCCGCGCCACACTGCCTCACTGGGATGAGGACAAAATGAGCCGTGTGTGCGTGCGTGCGTGTGTGTGCGTGCGTGGGGGGGGTTAAGTAACATTTACATTGTTACTAAAGTAACATTTACAATGTTAACATTTACAATGTTACTTTATGTGGGAAATGATGTAGACATTTCATCACGATATCAAATAATATTTTCATTTGTGTAGGGGTGTACTATGTTCAAACACACACACTGTAAACGTACAGTAGCTCTGTGTTTAACCGTGCCGTGCCGCTCTGAAGCACTGCTGTGTCTTATCCTCACGCAGCAGAGACCGGATGGAGCCGCGTGGGGGAGTTTGGGGGGTCTAGTTCCTTAAGGCTCTGGGAGAGGCGTGGGGCGGATGTCCACAGTGCTGAGGGTGTAGTGTGTCGCGGCTCTAGTAGAGTCGGCTCCATCAGCTCCGGCTCTGCCTCACGTTACCCGCTCCTCCTCCGATACCCGCTGCTCCGATACCCGCTCCACCGCTACCCGCTCTCAGTACAACCGTTCAAGGCTTCCGGATGCTCTGAGGCTCTCCTGTCCTCCGGGGAGAGCAGAGGGACACAGCCGCAGAGCAACTCAGAGTGTGGACAAGACCGAGAGACGCGGAAGGTACAGAGCAACTACTGCTACTACTAACGTTACTTTGTAACGCGCTACTAGCCCCGAGCTAACAGGCTAACGCTAGCATCCTCCTCCTGTCTTCTGTGGCCACAGTGTGTTCATTGGCCACAGTGTGTTCTATGGTCGTGTGTTCTGTGTTCTATGGTCGTGTGTTCTGTGTTCTATGGTCGTGTGTTCTGTGTTCTATGGTCGTGTGTTCTGTGTTCTATGGTCGTGTGCTCTGTGTTCTATGGTCGTGTGTTCTATGGTCGTGTGTTCTATGGTCGTGCCGACACAGCCGGGAAACACGTCCGGACATTTCAAAGTCCCACAGCCAACTCCAGCGGCCCACACTAGTCCCCTGCCCGCTCCGCGAGGAGCCATAGCCGGACTGGACTTAGTGAGTGAGAGTTTGGACTGGTCCACACAGACTCAGAGCCCCGCTGCTCAGCGTGGACAAACAAAAGGGCTCCAGTGTGATACTATCCGCCAGATGTCTCCTGTCCCGGCTCTGAACTCTTTAAGAGCCATCACTGCTCTTCGTTTCCTTTAACCGTGTCCAGCCGCGAGTGAGCCGAGGCTCGGTGTGTGTGCTGTAGTGTGAAACAAGGCTGACACTAAAGTGTAAAAGTGCACTCTGAACTATTGATGCTTTTAGGCGTTTGACCAGTTTAGCGCGTGAGCCACACGGTCAAACGGGATATTTAAAGTCTTCATTTTGGTTCTCTATTGTGTGAATTTAAATTGGATTAAGTCATACATCAGTGTGGATGTTCGAGGCTACCCCAGCGGTGATCGAGGCTACCTCGGCGACTAAAGCTGTGGAAGAGAGGCGCGTGGCCGTGTTCATACACTGTGTACGTGCGTTTGTGTTGCTGGGGCGTTATTTGCGTTAAAGTGGGCTCCTTTTGGTTCGGACTGAAGTTTGAGCAGAGCAGCTGTTGGGTTGGGGCCCCGGCGCAGCCTCAGACAAAGGCGCCACTGAGAGCCTCGAACACTCGTATTGTGTGGCGTAGTGTGGCTCCGGAGCTGCGCCCCTCACCCCGCTGGACCCTCATCCTGGACCCTAGGGTCGCTCAGACGAGGTGCCACGGAGTGCGGTGTGGGTGAGCGCAGGCACGCGCAGCCGGCCCGTGTCCTCACATGACCGTCTAGTTTGTCTGTTCGCTGTGAGTGCTGATGCCCTCTGCCACGTTCGCCACGATGTTCGCCACGATGTTCGCCACGATGTTCGCCACGATGTTCGCCACGATGTTCGCCACGATGTTCGCCACGATGTTCGCCACGATGTTCGCCACGATGTTCGCCACGATGTTCGCCGGGCGCCTCAGGGTGCCAGACTGTAGTGCCGCTGTAGCCAGTGTTTAGGTTTGTCCAAAAAGCCCCGTTTTACCGTTTGATATTGAAGTGCTGTTTATTCTAATGTGTAATATCACAAGTTTGGATAAAGTCTTCCCTGAACCAAAAGAATACAGATCGAGCTGATGTGTGTGCTCTAGTGTGACTCTCCTCATGTTCCTCATCCAGCAGAGGAGAGGAGTGTGCTGGGGGCAGACTAGAGGAGTGTGATGGGGGCAGACTAGAGGAGTGTGATGGGGGCAGACGAGAGGAGTGTGCTGGGGGCAGACGAGAGGAGTGTGCTGGGGCAGACGAGAGGAGTGTGCTGGGGGCAGACGAGAGGAGTGTGCTGGGGGCAGACGAGAGGGGTGTGCTGGGGCAGACGAGAGGGGTGTGCTGGGGGCAGACGAGAGGGGTGTGCTGGGGGCAGACGAGAGGGGTGTGCTGGGGGCAGACGAGAGGGGTGTGCAGGGGGCAGACGAGAGGAGTGTGCAGGGGGGCAGACGAGAGGGGTGTGCTGGGGGCAGACGAGTGGGGTGTGCTGGGGGCAGACGAGTGGGGTGTGCTGGGGGCAGACGAGTGGGGTGTGCTGGGGGCAGACGAGTGGGGTGTGCTGGGGGCAGACGAGTGGGGTGTGCTGGGGGCAGACGAGTGGGGTGGGGGCAGACGAGTGGAGTGTGCTGGGGCAGTGGAGAGGGGTGTGCTGGGGGCAGAGGAGAGGGGTGTGCTGGGGGCAGACGAGTGGGTGTGCTGGGGGCAGACGAGTGGAGTGTGCTGGGGGCAGACGAGTGGAGTGTGCTGGGGGCAGACGAGTGGAGTGTGCTGGGGGCAGACGAGTGGAGTGTGCTGGGGGCAGACGAGTGGAGTGTGTTCAGGGCCTGTCACTCCAGCGATTTAGTGTAATAAACAATAATATTGAAACTACTTTTTCTCACTGACTCAATAACAATAATGCAGGATAGTAAACAATTTTTAGATGGACAAACAAATAGCAGAATAAACCGTTAATTAGCCATGGAAAATAGTTTCTGCTGCTCAAATCTTATTTTATTACAAAATAACACACCAAATCTCCCACTTTTACCAAGAAATTGAACACGTGATAAATAGTGAGCCCCAGATGTCTAGTTCCATTTCTCCTGTACTGGATGATACGTACAGGAGGATGGAGTCAGGTGTGGTCAGTACATGTCTCCACTGGTTGTGACTGATCTTTTCAGAGCCATGCCCTCCGTGATGGAGCGCTCTGGGGCCGGGGTCCTCTCCAGGAGCAGAGCCAAGACCGTTACCAACGGCAACAGCCAACCCCACTCCGAGGAGGAGAGCAGTGACGAAGAGCACGCTCACGGTAACACACTGCGCATGCGCACGTGGGGGTTGGTGGTGGGAGGGGGAGAGGGGAGCAGCAGAAGCAGAGAGAGAGGGGGAGGAGGAGCAGAGAGAGAGGGAGGAGGAGAGCAGAGGGAGAAGACAAAAGGAGAGCAGGGAAGAGGAGAGCAAAGAGGGGGATAGGAGGGGAGGAGGAGAGCAGAGGGGGGAGGGGGTGGAGGAAAGTAGAGGGAGAGCAGTGGGAGGGTGGAGAAGGAGGAAAGCACAGGATGAAGAGAGTGGAGGAGGGAGACAGGGGGAGGAGGGAGACAGGGGGAGGAAGGAGACAGGGGGAGGAAGGAGACAGGGGGAGGAAAGAGAGTGGGGGAGGAAAGAGAGTGGGGAGGAGGAGGACACTAATTGATACCAAAATGAGTATCCAAGCATTTCATCATAAAAACTGGACTTTGCTCTATATGAGCATTAGTAAAAGAGCGCTCAAAGAAAGTACAGTTATTCTATTGAACACTGTTATGTATAAACCTCTGAGTATCCAGTCTGTTGTGTAGTATCCAAATGGAGTTTGAAATGTTGTACTGCACCAGTCTGATTCAGTGCTTCTCTTCAGTAACCCTACACCCCCAAATCTGTTTACTGCTACAATGGCTATTAGCACTATTACATCTTCATACTTTAAGTTCTAAAGTTTCTAAGGTTGTCAAATATATCGAAAAATCGAATACTAATTCATACCAAAAGCTAGTTTTGAAACTCGATACTCAATTGAGCAGGTATCGATACTATAAAAGTCCTACTGACAGGACAGAAATGAACCTTTTCTGAAGCTTTGAATGATGTTGAGTTGTATCAGAACAAGTGTCAGAGCACATAGACTAGTACACACACACGGACCAACATGAACCTACTGCACCTCTGACCAATACACATATAACACACATGGGAATAGAAAAGAAAGTGCAGCCATTTAAAGTTGAAAATCACATTCTATATTTTATTATCATTGTGGTATCAGAATCAGTATTGAGTATCAAATCTCTTCTTTAGTTTTGAAATTCAGTCCACTTTATTTCTACAGCACATTTTATAAACATGACAGTTTGATGACAGAGAAGGTCCTGTCCTCTTGGTTTTAAGTCTTGTCTTAGGCCCCATGAGCTGGAGCTGGACCTCAGAGCGTGGGAGGGTGTAAATCTGGATGAGGTCTGAGACGTACTGTGGGGCCAGAACATCCAAAGCTTTAAAAACAAACTAAATCTTAAAATCAATTCTAAACTGAACAGGAAGTCAGTGTAAAGACTCAAGCATTGGTGTGATATGCTCTCATTTTTTAGTTGCTGTTAAAAGTCGTGCTGTGGAGTTCTGGACTAACTGCAGATGGGAAAGTGTGTTTTAAGAGACGCCTGTGTAAAGTGTGTTACAGTAGTCCAGATGTGACGACATAAAAGTGTATATGACCTGTGAAAAGATTAAACGATCAAAAAGGTCTGACTGTGGATAAAAGTCACAAATGATAAAAACTCGATTTTATGAAGCTGTTTAAATCGAGTTTGAAATTTTAGTATCGTCATAACACTACTTTGTGCCAAATCAATCCTACAAAAAACATTCTAAAAGATGTATTCAAAGAGAGCATAGATCTTTGAAATTCAGTACCTCTGAGCTGGTTGGAAAACACTGCTTTAATTTATTGTTTTGTCATCTGTCCCATCCCAAGTCTGGTTGGCTGTGGGATTTTTTTTGTTTATTTGTTTTTTAAATAGTCAGGTACTCTTTTCAGATGAGTGTGGATGTAACCGGTGGACTTGTGCTTTTTCTCTTGCAGACAGCATGATCAGAGTGGGAGGAGACTACCAGGCCCAGATCCCCGAGTTCAAACCAGGTGAGAGGAGAGAGAAGAGGGAAGAAGGGAGAGAGACAAGAGGAGAGAGGGAAGAGGGGGAAGAGGAGAGGGAAGCAGGGAAAGGAGATGGGGAGAGGGGAGGGAAGAGGAGAGATGAGGCACAAGAAGGAGTGGAGAGGAAGGGGGGGGATGGGGGAAGAGAGGAGAGGAGGCAAGAGGAAAAGATGGAACTAAATCCTTAGTATGTAATGTGGAAACAAGAGCGAAGATGTTGAAGAGCTTTCTTGTGCTGTGACATTGTGGAGTTGAGTGGAGTCCCTGACACGGTTGGACTTTAGATGTTTGTCCGTTAAAGCCGCTCAGGTTTGGAGCGTGTAGACGGGATGTGGATGTGTGTCCTGAGCTGTCCCTGTCTGTCCACAGACTGTCCCAATCGCTACACAGAGAAAGACCAGAGGAGCATGCTGGTGTGGTGCCCCAACAGCCAGCTGTCTGACGCCATGTGTAAGCCCCGCCCCTCTCCTGCACTCCACCCCACACACGACCCCAACCAATACGTGATCAGACCCTACATGCGATTAGACACTACACAGGATCAGACACTGCACACTGCACACTGCACACCATTGTCCATGACAATGGGCCCAGGCCGATGACACAGGTCTGTAAGCTACACCCGTATACGCAAAGGCAACGCTGTGGCGTGCTTGCATGTGGTTTTGAAACATAAATTTACTCTGCTACTACACAGCTCCCAGGTCCTAACTGTGCCACGCCCCCATGGAAGATATTACCTCCAGCGGTCTGCTTGGGACCCCTAAAAGTACCAGCCCTATGGAAACAAGGCTTATGAACACACCTGTACTAGACCCTCCACACTATGAACAGACCTGTACTAGACCCTCCACACTATGAACAGACCTGTACTAGACCCTCCACACTATGAACAGACCTGTACTAGACCCTCCACACTATGAACAGACCTGTACTAGACCCTCCACACTCCGAGCGGACCTGTTCTGACTAACCATTGTGATGTGTGCAGTGGACGAATACATCCTGATGGCCAAGGAGAAGCACGGATACAACATGGAGCAGGTACCACACTGTTAAAGCAGGGCAACAGTCATTTTGTTACCTCGACCTTAAACATGAAACTGTAATATGTTGGAAACCTTATCCCCAGGTCCAGCTGTTACTGTGTCCTTGGGCAGGACACCCAAGTTGCATGTCTGTTGTGACTGTAGTGTAATTGAGGGGAGGCAGTGACTGGGAACCAGGTCTGTTCTTCAGTCCAGAGCATTGTTTTTGCTCTTGTGTATCACTCATGTATGAGTAAAACAGATCTAATGTATAAACGACTCTAGAAGTCAGAATAAGCAAACTTTATTTTTTCCCTCCACGTTTATAAAAGACATTGTGCTTGTGTGTGCTATAGTTCTAATCTCTACACCCGTGGATCATTATGTTATAATGGACATTTAAAATCTCAATATTGATCTAAAATGAAACAAGTCCTCTGACGTCTGCATTACGAAACTGGTGTCCAGTGGGAGCTGACGTCGCTGTAAATGTCCTAACAAAGCGCCGCATGTTGTGGGCCCCTCCTGTGGATAGCTGCACATCACACTAGAGCAGAGCATTGCTGAATCCAACATGTATCACAGATTAAGAAAATTAAATAGAGTGAAGCAAGTACAGAGCAGGGGGCATATGGTGATAGTGGTGAAAACAGGACTTGATGTGGCGTCTTAAAAATAAGCGATTAAAGATTACTCAAACATGCCAGAATCACTCCAGAAACAACTTTGGCTGAGTAATGAGGGAAAACAACTATAACATGGTTAAAAGCTCTGAAAAGTCCATTTTAAGCCTGTATAAATGTGCTGGAACTCCTTTAACGTGCTTGTGTGTCTGTTCAGGCTCTGGGCATGCTGCTGTGGCACAAACATGACGTGGAGCGCTCTCTGGCAGACCTGGCCAACTTCACCCCATTCCCAGACGAGTGGACTGTGGAGGACAAGGTGCTGTTCGAGCAGGCCTTCAGCTTCCATGGCAAGAGCTTCCACCGCATTCAGCAGATGGTGAGACACACTGTCCACCACACTGTCCACCACACTGTCCACCACACTGTCCACACTAGAGTAGTTGAACACCTTCACTCAATCACATCCATGTGTCCAGCTCCCAGACAAACTCATCTCCAGCCTGGTGAAGTACTACTACAGCTGGAAGAAGACACGCACCCGCACCTCTGTCATGGACCGGCAGGCGCGCAGGCTCGTCAGCAAGAGGGAGAAGGATGATAGGTGAGCCTCTTACTCAGTACTCATGTACAACCACAGACTGTAAGTGGACATGGTTAACCTGCTGGCCATCACTTTCCAAATAAGAGATGAACATGGGTGCACTTTCAGCTCCGTCAACTCCAGTTCACTTTTTATTGAAAAAGTGTGGCTGGTTTCTTTTACTGCGCCTATGAGGTTTGGCATTCTGACCTTAAAATGATGATTTTTAACCCGCTCTGCATGATCCTGGGGTTTTCATGTGGATAGTTTGTCCCATAGGAAGAGAATTAAGACCAATCAAGTGCCTTCTTTCCCTGAGGCCACTCCCACTAGTGTTAGCAACAGGTTTGATTGACAGCGTTGTTAAGCACCCTCTCCCTGCCAAAGCAGTGGTGTGGACAGGAATGAGCGTGGATTCAGCCTTGCTCCTGATTGACTCCTTTGGTTGCAATGACATTCGTAGTTGAATTTTCAAATATAGAACTGCTCCAAATTCCCTCTGCTAACCTCGTGAGCTTCATTTGACTGGAGCCAAACATTATACGTGACGTGACACGAGAGCCCAGGAGAATCGGCTGATGCAGAAGAAGCTGGTCTATGAATGGAGGGAGAAAAATTAGGACACCATGTATATTTTATATAAAAGTAATTATCTTGATAACTACTAAGCCTAGCTCAGTGATGATGCTGATGTCGGTCTAGCAGATGCTTTAGTCTTGCATAAGCAGCTGAACTCTTCACATTGTGGTGAAGTTTTTCATTTTGCGTTGAAGGCACACTGCACAGTCTTGGGAGACTGTGCTCGTGCAAATTCCAAGATGCAAAATAACTTCTCTTTGGGAGTGAATGTCTCAACCTGAAAATGGAACAAAAATAAAACATTCAATATACAATTTAGATCTGTTTCTATACATTCTGTTAAAATTTGAGGTTATTTCAACAAGAAGTGCCAAAATGATTGGCCTGCAAAATGATGTCAATTTTTTTGGGACCCCTTGTACAACAGTAGTAATAGTCTAGTATTTTTGGGGTGTAGCTGTTTGCTCCACCATCATTTCATTCACTTTCACATTCAGTCATGTTTCTGTTCCCAATGTCCTCCAGAAAAGTGAAATTATGAGCTAATCAAATGTCGCAACAACACAATAGAACAGAAGTATCCCTGTTTCATTGTGAGCCCGGTCCACAGCGGCGCTGGAGAAGTGTTGGACTAAAGCGGTTTGTGCTTTCAGTAATGATGAGATGGAGGAGGGTGAGCCGGGCAGTGACAGTGACTTTGAGGTGGATGCTAAAAAGGAGGTAAAGGAGGTAGAGTACTGTATGTCCCACTGCCCCGTGTCACCCCGGAGCTGACTTAATGCTGTGCTGTTGTGTAGGCCGCCAAACAGAATCCCAGCGGTAGCGGAGGGGACAAACTCACCCCCAGTCGCTCAGGGGCCGTGAAGAAGGAGAGCATGGGGGCCCAGTACAGACACCACCCTCTGAGGGCCCGCCGCAGACCCCCCAAAGGCATGTACCTGGACCAAGCGGACATCACAGCTGTGTCAGCTTCTCACGATGCAGGACAGCTCAGCATACGGCAGCTGGACACACAGCTCGTGTCCCTCAAAAGACAGGTACCCCCACGATCACTCCTGTCTCCTCTGAACATGTGCTGTTTCTGCACATTCACAGCCACATTAACATACTATACATGACCTTTGACCTGTGTGCAGGTGCAGGCCATCAAACAGACCAACAGCAGTTTGAAACACAGCCTGAGTGAAGGTGTGGACGCCTTTAAACCCACCGAGGTAACACCGCTCACCCCCTATCAAACCTGTGCTAATCCACACGTGTGTCAACATGTGTCTCTGTCTCCAGCCCAACACCAAGATGAACTCTCGCTGGACCACAGAGGAGCAGCTGCTGGCAGTGCAGGGTGAGGGGGGTGTAGGGGTTTGTCTGCAGGAGCAGTGCGCTCAGATGTGTTTGAAATGTGTTTGAAACAGTGTGTCAGTGTGGATTTAGGTTGTGTGTGTGCAGCTGTGTTAATGACACTGTCCTGTGTCCACAGCCATCCGCCGCTACGGGAAAGACTTCAGTGCCATCTCCGAGGTCATTGGCACCAAGACCCCGGCGCAGGTGTGTGGTCTGCACCCCCCCTCCACTGTGTCATTCTGCCCCCTGCGCGTGTCACTGGGCTCATGTTTGTCATGTGCAGGTCAGCTCCTTCTTCGTGACGTACCGCCGCCGCTTTAACCTGGACGAGGTGCTGAGGGAGTGGGCAGCCGAGCAGGTATCCAGCAAAGACTCTCCCAAAGAGGAAGACATGGGCCCCGGGGCCGAAGGGGCCAATGAAGAGGACGAGGTGAGGGCACTTCACGGTAGTTTTGAGCCAGCGGAACAAGCCACTCTTTTATTTAAGATCCTTTTTGATCATGTCAACATTAAATGTACAAAATAAACAGACAAAGCTGCAGGATGTAGTTTTTTCAATCAAATATGGACTCAAATAAAACATGTTTGTTTTTTTCATTTTGGTTGTTTTTATTGCACTAAAAAAAAAAAAAAAAAAAAAACATGAGTTATTGTGAGCGGGCTTGCATCTCCACAAACCTGACTCTTATTTGGCACGGGAGGAGGGCCTTTTCCTGCTTGTTTCTTGGAACTGTTCCTTTGGCACATTCTCCATGGAGACGTTTTATGTCCAAGTAGTTTTAACTTTCTATCTCCATGGAATCGTGCAGTGATGTGCCACCTCCAGAAAGTTCCAAACTGTAGCTTTAAAGTGCTATTTAGAAAAGCAGTGGCACAGTTCTGGACCAGAGTTGGGCAAGTAATTGGTTCTAGTCCATCTCCCCTGAAGTAGTTTAGCTTTATCAATCTGTAATGAGTTACTAATAGTTACAAAACAAAGGAACTCTCACATACCAAAAATGTAGAAGAGGCCGACTCGCTGCTGCTGCTTTGAATAGGCCCTACACACCCGAACCAGAACCCTTGTCCCAGGACGGGCCCAGAGCCGGAGGATGAGTCTGCAGAGCTCATACTCAGTGTTGTCTGGAGTACAGTTTTTGGGAATTGTGCTTTTTGAGTCCTGTGTACTTTTTGTATTATAGTCCCGTGTACTTTATGCAGTATAGCCCCGTGTACTTTATGTAGTATAGTCCCGTGTACTTTATGGAGTATAGTCCTGTGTACTTTGTATTGAGTACAAACCCTGTGCTGTGTGTTTGCAGGTGAAGATGGAGGAATCTCCATCCGAAACCTCCGGTGGCTCTCCTCCCCCTACGTCTGGACAACCCCCCTCCTCCCTGTCCCAACCCCCGCCTCTGTTAAGGCCCGCCCCCCCGCGGCCCCCCCAGTCTGCTGCGCCAGCCCCCACCCTTGCAGACGCGCCCGCTCCAGACCCGCACGCCCCACAACCACCCTCCGCCGCCCCTCATCCGCCCAAACTCCACCTCCCCCGGGGCAGCTCAGGGCCCACCCTCTCTGCTGGGAGCCAAGGTGGAGCAGGCGACATCCCACTGACCCTGTGAGCGCCCAGTGACATCACAAGAGTCCCTTTAAGACACGCCTACCTCCTCATGGGAGCCTGTGGTGGACCCGCCCCATCAGACAGACTGCTTTAAGATGAGCCATGCTGTGTCGTGTGTCTTTAGACCAGAGGACAGGGAGCTGTAGCTAGATTCTTCATGTGATTAGCTTAGACCTTTTCTTGTAATAATGAATGTGGGGACTAAACGAGTAGTGCGCAGTGTTCACAAGCTCCGAGCTGAACCATGTATGTGATCATATTCAGGACACATTTCCATATCATAGTGTCTGAGGAGACGCCGACCTGTTTCAAGCTCGGCCAAACTCTGTCAAGCTTCAGTTGACACAGCTCACACAGCGCTTTCTCAAACTTCCAAATGGATCAAATCAAAGAGGCTCATGTTTAGTTTAGTGTGGCAGCCCAGGACTGGAGCTCATGGTTTAGAGAGCAGTGCTTTTTTTTTTGTACTTTTCCCAAAGCTCTGTGTGCGTTCTCTGTGAGACACAGTTTCATTGTTTCTTGAACTCAAATGTTTTTTTATTTTAGAATAAAATGGTTGAAAGTGAGTCTTGGTCGTACTGGGAGAGGTGGAGAGACCTGTAGCGGCCACATTCCTTAGCTGGGTTTTACCTCTGTATGTGTAGGTGGTATGGGCATGATAACGTGTACTAAAACTATCCAGAACGCGACAAGGCTTTTTGTGATTCACAGGTTCCCTACAGTGCCCCCTGTGTTCAGTTTAAAGGGTTGGTGTCAGCAATTCATTCACACATTTACTCCAGTCTACGGTCATTATTATATCATTGTTTTTATTACTATCATTGTAATTTTTCATCATTTTGTCTTTGCTTTGCACAAAAAGAAAACAAAACAAATACATTTTTCAGGAGCTGATCACCCCCAACCCAATCCCCACCACTACAGATACAGTTTGCTCAAAACACAGTTAAAATCATGTCAATTACAGCAATGTAAAACAAAAATGTAAAAGAAATCAACCCTGAAAGAGAATATAACAGCAAAAGCCGGAAATATCATTAGAATCCGATCCCCAGCACCTTATACAAAGATCAGCGTTTAAAAGAACAAATCTCCATGGGTCTAAACTCAAACAGGTCGAAAAGGACAGTGTCATCGTGAGAAACAAAGTGTTAGGTTCTGTGACCCCTTCATGAGTGACAGTCTCTCCACCTGCTCCGCCTCCACATGTGAAAGGTGCAACACAAGGCAGCAATGACCACACCAGCCTCCAACGTCAGCCTCCAACATCAGTCTGTACAAAGCACGAAAATATAGGGTCAAATCAAAAAAGCAGAACATGTCACCACTCATCATGTAGATTTGGCTTAGTCCAGTGATCGGTGTAGATATAGTCACACATGAACTGCCCAGTATATTTGGAACGCTTGAGGGCCCAAAGCAAACCGCTCAATGTGAAGGCGTCACGCCAACACGAAGTGATTATGTGCTGACTTTGTGAAAAAAAAAATTCTTCAAAGAAAAGGCAACAATGAATCTACAACTCTCCCCTTAACGTCTGATATGCCCATCTTTTCCAGTGCACAACTTTTAAACAAGCAAGAAAAGAAACTAAAATCATGTCAAAGTAACAAAAAGGCCTGTGGGGGGAACTGTGCTGAGGAGGAGGAGTGATGAAGATGTGCTTGTGCTGTTGAAGGGCTTGTTCAGTCCGGACTCGCCGGTCGTGTGGAAAGTCCAGGATTTGAGTCCTCAGTCCAGCCCAAAGCAGAACCGTGAACAACAGAATAAATACAGGAGGAGGAGTGGTCATGGGCAGAGGGCAGACATGCAGAGAACAGCAGGAAGAACCCTACAGTGTCCACACAACAATCCCCACGTGGGCCCAGCTTCAGTGTTAGCTTCAGCATTCGCGTTAGCTTAGGTCTCCATTTCAGTGCCCTTAACGCTCTCCTCCTGCTTGGACTGGCGCGCTCACAGTTTGAGCTCGTTGGCGATCTTTGAGGCAATGTTCTTGAAGGCGATGGAGGTTCCGGAGATGCGTTTGAAGCGGACTCCGTTGAGCGAGAGGCGTGGCAGTTTGCACACCTCCATCTCCCACTGCACAAAGTCGTCCCGCGCCGGGTTCCCCGACACGCACAACAGCATGTAGCGCTCGCGCAGCTCGTACTCGCAGCTGTTGGAGTCCAGCACTTTGCGGATCTCGCGCATCATCTCCGACGGCTCCATGGACGAGGTGGTTTTCATGGACCAGGTGAAACGCAGGGAGCGCGGTTTGGCCGAGTCCTTCTGCCCCCCGATGGCGGGAGGGGTGCCTGTCCCACCTACCAACACAGAACAGGTGTCAGGTCACAGGTGTCAGAGGTGTCACAGAGGTCACAGGCATCAGAGGTGTCAGAAGTCTCAAGCGTCAGAGGTGTCAGAAGTCTCAGGCGTGTGTCAGAAGTCTCAGGCGTCAGAGGTGTCAGAGGTCACAGGTCATACTTTTACCTGTGTTTCCAGAGCCAGGGGAGGAGTTGTTCTCGTCATTGTTGGAGGACAGGACTCCACCGGAGGTCTTCTCATTTTTGTCCACAGTGCTGCTCAGCATGGACCTGTGAGGACATGCACCCAGAGGACCACAGTGGACAGGAGAGAGGACAGTTGGTCAGAAGGACACAGAGTTATCATAGCAAAACTACACAGGACACAGGCAGGACACACAAGGAGATGGAAATGAGGGAGACGAGTCAATTTAAGGAGCCCATGTGTCTGTGTTGACCCAGAGTGTCCTGACAGCAGTGTCCACTCATCATGGAGAACAGGACGTCCAGAGGCTTTACTCCAGATGCCCCGTCTACTTGTGATGAGAGTTTTATGATTGACAGTTGTTGCTCTTGACCCCCGCCCCATCCCACACAGACACATGGACTGCGATCAGGTCCCGACACACACCCCTCCATGCAGGATCATCCCGGCCCCTGATTGGCTCAAAAAGACACACTTCCTGTCTCCCACCACCATCACAGCCACAGCCGGTCCCGCCCCCTGCATTCACACCAGCCTCTGATTGGCTCCAGGCTACGGTTGTCTAGTTTGTCTAGGTTTGACGAGCGTTTGCTGCTGGGTCTCACCTGCTGCCCTCATCCCGACCCTCTCCCTCATACGGACTCCTCGAAAAAAATCAACAAGTTTAGTCTTTACACTGGGACTTTACACCCGTCATGTCCCATCTGCGCCCCGTGCACTCGTGCCTGGACTCCTCTGGACCTGTGCACCGGTCAGGCCCGGCTGCTTCTTCTATCTACTGTGGCCACTTTTAATAAACTCTCATGAGACTTTTACAGATACTTTGGGTTGACTTCACTTGTGTCTGTACAACCTACTACATCCGCGTCTCACTGAGGTGCTTTAAAGATGCAATGTGCAGCTTTTCTGGTGGAGGTCTGGCACTTGTTTGTTTCCATGGAAGGACATTGCATTGCACTGGAATGTTCCGCAGTACAGCATTGGTGCAGATCTCACCTAGAACATAATAGAACACAAACACTGTCTACTGAAGAACATTCCAGGCAAAGCAACAATCTCCACAGAAATCACCTTCCATCAGGAAAGTTACACAGTGCGGCTTTAAGCAGAATGGATCAGAGCAGGTGCGGTGAAGGTGTGTGAACTTTAAAAACACAGAGGAGCTCTTCTGGACCACATGAATGATGATGGAGATGGAACAGAAGGAGCAAGGGTCCAGGGGAGTCTTCAGGCCTGCTCTCACTCTCACTCTCACTCTCACTCTCACTCTCACTCTCACTCTCACACTCACACTCACACTCACACTCACACTCACACTCACACTCACACTCACACACTCACACACTCTCACACTCTCACACTCTCACACACACGCAGACACAGAGCACACACACACAAATGCGCACACACACATGCAGACACACACACACAGAGGACAGTGTGTGTGTGTGTGTGTGTGTGTGGCTCCGGCTAAAGAAGCAGGATCACATGACTCCTGAAACAAAACATGGTTAAATCAAAGCGACATGAGGAGAACAGGGCGAGATCAGAGAAACTGCACATTGAAGGAGCCATTTTGTCTTTGACAGGTTAGTCGTTTCCATGAGGACCCCAACATGTCCGCCTGAGGGAAAAGTGCGGTCCACAGCACCAGCACTGTTAGTCACAGCTTCAGAACTATGGAACCAGGTTTGTCTTTACCAGAGCACGACTGCCCACGGTCCAGACACAGAGACACTCGCTCAGGCCTCCTCCACAACATTTACAAGAAAAACACGCTTTAAAATGTGCAGTGTGGAACTTTTTGGGTGGAGGGTCAGTCACCTGCTTGTCTAAAGCATAAAAAAAACATTTATCATCGGTCCTATATTACGCTAAACTGACTTGAGAGCTTTTAGTCATGTTCTAATGCTGCTCCCTCCACAAACACACACCTGGACTTGTGTTTTGTTTCGTTCACACGTTTGAGTATTCCTACATTCTACACATCTGCAACCCCAATGTCAAAATGCTCCACCCTGTGATGTCATTGAATGGTAGTGTTGAGGTGAACAGGTGGCCTCACTTGAACTGCTTTACTATACAATACTGGAATAGAATAGTCTTTAAAAGTTGTTGCTTTTATTCCATTTGTTCAGTTGAGATTGTCAATAGAAAGTGTGTAACATCTGCTGGTGCACTGAGGAGAGAAGCAGCTTCGATGAAGCTAAAACAATAGCTGCAACTTCAAAGTTAAGGAATACCAGGGCTGAAATGATCCAAATGATTTAACTGTAGATGTATGGGGTTTAAAAACACTATGGGGCATTTCCTGATTTACCATTTAATGACATAAGAAGGAATAGTGCATTTAGTTTGAGGGAAGAACTCAGCCAAAAGCTGGAGAGTTTGTGTGTTAAACGTGTGTAAATAAAACTAAACACAAATCCAGGTGTGTTTGTGATGAAGAAACAACATTAGAACAATAATGGAAGAGTTAAGTAACTCCCCCTGCAGAGCGCTGTCACAACACAATCAGCGTGCATCCCGCTAAAGAAACTACAGCACATCACATCAGGTTTGTCTAGTTGTAGTTTTCCATCTTGCTTTTGTCTGTTTTTGGAGACTTGTTATGAGCATGGATTGTGGGTGGACCTTGTACAAAAATGTACAGGGAACCATAAGGCCCAGGAGAGATAAAATAGACAACTAAAAGCTCTTCAGACATGTTTTTGATGAGAGAATGACAATATAACCTCCTAATCCCCTGGTTAAAGGCACAAAAGCAGGAGAAGGTGTTGGTGATTGTTGTGGAAAAGGCTTGATCCGAGTTCTCTGCAGGCTTTGGTGATTGTTGTGGAAAAGGCTTGATCCGAGTTCTCTGCAGTGCTCAGAGTCACCAGCAGAGGGAGCAGTGGACCGGACCTGACAGGATGGATTAAATGTGTTAAACAGTAATGGTGACACAAGCCATCCACATGTGCTGCTCGTGTTAGGGGTTAGAGGCAGAGGAGACAGAGCCGTGAAGAGGAGGAGCGCCCTCACACCCACCCCTCCCCCCTCCCACACCGGGCACCTCCAGGACATGTCCCCAAGCAGACGAGTGTCAAAGTGAGGGGCATGAGTGTTGTGGGTGGCCTCACAGCTAATTCAACTATTTCTACTCTTCTACAAACACTAGCACAGTCATTTTGTTATCATTAAAAGTCCTAGATGACATTCTTTTCTGATGTTATAATGCTGTTTTCTCATCACAAACAGACATGGAGTTGAGTTTGCTTTCATTCACACAAACCCTGCACATTTAGTCTCTCAAACAGAAAATAGTGTTTCACGTTGTGATGTCACAGTGCTCCACTGTGTTTTAAAACTCTTTACACCTTTACTAGAGTCATTTGAATAATTTCAGTCGTAGAATTTCCAACAAAATTAAAAGGAGCAATTAACTTGAAAACTGCCACTACATCACAAGGTGGAACAGAGCATTTTGAGCAGTCAAACGTGTGAATGAAACAAAACACAACTCCAGGTCTGTTTTTAAGGTGCTAACAACATTATAACATGATTTAATTTTTTTGTAATATAGGACCTTTAACTAGTGATTAGTGGGGGTGACATGGGACATGATACACGGTTATTTCAAAGGTTAAATGTCCGATAGGTCGTTCACGTGGCCTCACAGCATTTGACAAAGCCAGTGGCTTGAAATTGAAGGGGGACTTGTCAGAATTCTATGGAAGAATTTGATTTTTAAAGGTGCAGTACACATCTTTACTGGTGGAGGGTCTGCCATGTGTATGAAACGCATTAATGCTTCGCCGTGGGTCGCCAGTGGCAAATCTGTTTTGGCTCGCCCCGAAACAACGCCGTCCTGTCAGCCACGTTCTCCACAGTGCACCATCAAAGTTGTGATTGTTGGTTTTTTTTTAATCATCAGAAAATCTGTTTTTCCTTGAGTAAGAAGCATGTAAAAAAATAAATCGCACGGAAAATGAGTTTTATTTCAACATAACTGATAGGAACGTTCCCATATCAGCATGCCTGTTTCATAAGTCCTAGCTCGTCCCAGACCCTCTCGCCACATAATAATGATAAGCTAGAGCCACTTTAAGCCACATGACTAGAGAAGCCGATTATTTGGCAGACTCGACTGATATATCTTGGAAATCGTTGTTCTTACAGCTCTAAACTCACAAGATCCAGAGACAGAAGCGGAGTTTATCGCGCATGATGCGATGAAACTCATAACTCCTTATGTGCCGCGACTCTGTTCAAAAGGCTCGATGTATGCAAGTCTGTCTATAAATCTAAAGATAACAATGAAAGAAAAATGTTTTCGTTTTCTTTCCTAGTCTCAATAGCTCCTCTTCTAGCATCCTGCTTATGTTCAGCAAATCAAACAATCTTACATGAGACCACATCAAATTAACACGTGTGGAGCATCTACGCTTATTTTAAAACACGAATATCAATAGTTGTGTTTAATTTAGATCCCATCATTATAAAGCAATCCATCTCTCAAGGTTGCCCATAGCAGATAATTACCTTTGCAGTGAAACTGGTAACACAAAACTCAAAGGTTAACTTAATTCTGAGAGCGAGATACCTCCGCTCGCATCCTTCATTCAAATTGCTATAGATCTCTGGTTAATGTGGTCTGCCATGTAAGACCCTGAGGGGTAACTTGCTTTAATTAAAACCCGAAGATGCGAGTCACAAGGCGAGTCGCATGCATATGTGAAAAGCTTTGTGTGCGTTCATGTTTTGTTGAATAACAAGTCGCCCCCATCAACGGGCAGCTTTTGATTAGTATTGCATGTTATTTCAACGTCGCGGGTTATAATACATCTAGTTCACCAAATGGTGTGTTGTGGTTTAAAGGTGGCCTAACGCCGCGAATAGCATAATTAGCAGGGTGGCGGCTTAGTCAACTCGCTTTCATCCACAAAAAAGCTTCTTGTGGGTGGTTAAGGTACTGGGGCCAACGAAAGTTGTGGCAACTCAGAATAAGCCTAATTCCTTGACAAAAAAGAATGAATGAAAAAGACTTATAAACAACACTTTAAAGGAATTTTGTAATAATATATACAAAGTGGAACATCCCGAGTTGATAACCCACTAGGATCCAAGCAGGAAGTGAGCAGGGGTGCGATCCGGCTTCCAGTTAAGGTGTCATCCCCTCTCAACAAAACTCTCTGAGCATCAACTTTAGAGCTCTCTCAAAAAAATTTGATTCAATAAATGAGCTGCTGCTCTAATACCTGACTCCTGGAAGTTTTTATTTCACTATCCCTAATCCAATTGTCTCTAAAAATCATACTCATAATATGAAAACGCATGTAATCAAGAGCCCAATCAGCTATGTCTTTAAGCAGACTAGGAATGTTGTACCTGTGACCTCCAGAGATTCGACTATAGCCACGTGTCAGAGCTGTAACACAACGTCAAACTGCATCAACAAAAACTAACCAGTAAGACAATACGATAAAGGTGGGAACGCGCGAGGCCGTTTAGACCCTGTGTTTAACAAGCTGCAGTTAATTTAAATACGATCCAGTTAAAATTGATAACAATAAAGATAGAAGTTAAAAGCATACCTCTTTTTTCTATGCCTGGTAACTTGTCTTAAACGCCTCTCCTGTATTTGGAAATACTCTAGTTTGTTTAGCACCATAATGAATGACTTTGACTCAAGTAATTTGTTATTGTCATAATATACAGCAACATTTATTGAAAATCGTACTGCAGAACCGTTTACATTCTCATATATGGTTTTGGGCTTCTACACATACATTGACAAACTCACGGCGTTTTTGAAAAGAGTGTTTGCGTGTGACATGTCTTCGGCCCACGTTCGCCTTACTCGTTTCCACCAGATCGGTTGTGAAGAGGATGAAGTTTACACCTGGATGTCCCCTGCTTGACGAATTATTTGGATTGAGCTCCTTCTTTCAAATCGATGATGCCACGGGCAGGGTGGGATGGGGCAGGGATTCACTTTGACTGGAAGCCGACAACATGCGCAGCTAGCACCTGGTGACTTGGGCCGATCTAGAATAAAAACTCACTTTGAGGGCTTCCACTTTTCTTTAGGGTAAAGTCTTACTATAAACTTCTGTTTTGGACAGAGTGGGACATTTGGGAGATACATGTGTGGATTCAGTGCGACTTCTTGCGAACTTGCTGGTGCATCGCTCGGCTTTCTGTCCAGAATTCCATTGTGCCTACCTATAATCAAGGCTTTTGGGTAAAATCATTCTATCTCCTTGATTCCATTGGCTCTGCTCTTTCTCTGCACAGCTGTATGGAAATACCTTGGACTCATTTTGGGGGTTGATAGTTCAACTTTGGCCTTCTAAAGACAATCAATACTTGACTGACTGTGTTTAAGAAACACCCTCACCGGTCTTCATCTTCTGCTCAATCTTCTCTCTGTTTTGGATAGTGCGAACAGTTAAACAGTATGTGCATCAAAATACAGAGATGGGAATGTGGAGGGCTGCCAGAGGGTGTGCATGGCTGGAGAAATGCTGTCCCTCCTGCCTTAAGTATCCAATGCACTGTGTAGGGTGATTGCTTGCCTGTATACTATACCGGCTCGAGCGTCCCCTTGGCTTCAAAGTCCCAGTGCGAGCATCCCATTCTCTCGTCGGGAATGTCCCCTCCTCTCTCTGGGCACCCCCTTCTCTTGGGCGGCACACAGGTAACTGCTGTGCCAGGAGAGGAGGCATGTTCTCACCGGCCTTTAGTAAGCTTTGCACCACGCACTGTGATGTATTGTTACTTTAAAAAAAAAATAAATAAATAAATAATTACCATTAATATTCTTTGCTCTTTGTTATTATAATATATTGTGATAATTTCTATTGAGGATCAGTAAAGTTTGTCCAAGTCTAAGTCTTTAGTCTAATTATTAGACCAGTGTTGGGTGTAATTGCATTGATAATACTTAGTTATTGCAATTGGATTACAATTTTAAGTAATAAGGAACTAACGGATTATAGTGAAAATACTTCAGATAACCACCTCAAAGGCAGAGAAGCAGCTTGGAGCAGTGTCACGCAGATGTTGCTCATTTCTATTGTTGATGAATTTGTACAATACTTCAAAAACGTTATCATAAATTATTGTAACTTTCTTGAGGCAGTAAGTAAGTAGTACTGCAATATATTACATTTTCAACAAGTAACTAATAATGGGTAACTAATTATTGTTTTCAAAGTAGCATGAGGTAAAATGATAAAATATGTTTATTTTGTAATTCCAAATTATCTTAAACAGGCCGTTCAGAGTTAACCAAAGGGCTATAGGTGGCCCTGGAGGTGTACAATGTCCAGGTCGGTTCTAAAGACTGTAATTTCACTGTAATTTTTATTTTATTTTTTTTAAGATAGCCTTAGCAAAGCAAACCAAAATAAAACATGAATTAATTAAATTTTAAATATTAAATAAACATCTACATCTAAATTATTTCTGTGTCTCTCTCTCTCTCATCTCAGTTCACCTACCTGTGCAACCTTCATGAGGGCTGAAGCTCTAATGTTGAGGTTCCATGTATCTTACCAAAACAAAGTGGCATTTTTCAAATAAATTGGCTGACCACTGTGGGTTATTTGGTCTACTTATACTCCTTTAATTCATACAGTTACCACATACAGAGGATATGTGTTGAATGTTCCTTCTGATTATGCTACAAATATCTGAATGCCAATTTTTAAATAAAATGAAACATCTATATAGTGTAAATAAAAAAATGCAGTGATATAGTGTGGTTTGCCATTCTTCAGTGCAGGCAGCTGCACTTAAGTGTGCGTGGTAACGTGTGAAGAACAGACTGTTTTACCCTGAGGACTATTTTTTAATGGAACAGCAATTTGCTTGAAAGGCCTGTCATTTTGCTTGCGTTTCCAGACGGGGACTGGTGCATGTGTGAACACTGGTTGTTGAGTAGGTGGAACCTTCTGGAGTGTGTAGGAAAACCCATAGGAGGCGATATGAGATCAGACTATAACAACAAGCCACCAAGGGAGATTGTAAAAATAACACACACATCTACTTTGTGTTATTGTTATTGTGTTATTGTGCATTTGGTTACATGTTTGTCCCTTTTTTCCAGCAAGAATTTCCTTTCACACTTCGTATGAATACATAAATGATGCATAAATTAACCAACCATGTAATCAAAAGAGCCACTCAAGAAATCCTACCAATGGCTTAAGAAGTCTGGTCTGAAGGACAGCACAGAGGCACTCATCCTGGCTGCACAGGAGCAGGCCCTGGGCACCCGAGCAATAGAGGCCCAGATCTACCACACCAGACAAGACCCACGGTGTAGACTGTGCAAAGAGGCTCCTGAGACAGTCCAGCACATAACTGCAGGGTGTAAGATGTTGGCAGGGAAAGCATATATGGAGTGACAAAACCAATTGGGGGGCATAGTGCACAGAAACATTTGTGCAAAGTACGGGCTGGAGACCTCAAGGACAAGGAGGGAAACACCTCCAAAGGTTGTGGAGAATGACAGAGCCAAGATCCTGTGGGACTTCCAGATACAGACTGACAGATAGTGATGGTGAACCAACCATACTAACCAAAGCTCATGACCACAGGTGAGAGTAGGAACGTAGATCGAGAGCTTCGTGTTTCAGCTCAGCTCCTTCTTCACCACAACGGTCCAATACAGCGACCGCAGCGCTGTAGACACTGCATTGATCTGCCTGTCAGACTCACTTACTTGAGCTCCACCACTTGAGGCAGGGACTCTCCACCCACCCGGTTGAGAACCATGGCCTCGGATTTGGAGGAACTGATCTTCATCCCAGCCACTCTGCTGCAAACCAGCCCACTGCACATTGCAGGTCCTAATCTGATGAAACCAACAGGACAACATCATCTGCAAAGAGCAGAGATGGGATCCTGTGGTTCCCAAACTGGACCCACTGCTTCCACCTCTTGAGGCGCCGAACGATTTGCCAGAATCTCTTTGATGCCGTCCGATAGTCCTCCTCCATGGCCTCGCCGAACTCCTTCCAGCCCCGAGTTTTTGCCTCTGCGACCGCACGGGCTGCAACATGTTTGGCCCTCCAGTACTTGTCAGCCGCTTCAGGAAGCCCCAATAGGATTCCTTCTGACAGCATCACTTACTTCCAGTGTCCACCACCGGGTACGGGGATTGTCACCACGACAGCACCACAGACCTTAAGATCACAGCTACATGCGGCCGCCTCGACAAAAGAGGCTGAGAACAAAGTCCACTCGGACTCCGTGTCTCGCGCTTTCCCCAGAATCTGGGAGAAGCTCTACCGGAGGTGTGAGTTGAAAGTCCCTCTAGCAGGCGTTCCCAACAGACCCTCACTATACGCTTGGGCCCAGGTCCAGGTCTTTCTGACTTTCCTCCTTCCTCTGCCAGCAAACCCAACTCACAACCAGGTGGTAATCGGTTGACAGCTTTGTCCCTCTCTTTACCAGTGTCCAAGACACGCTGCTGGACGTCAGATGACATGACGACAAAGTCAGATTGCATATATATATATATATATATATATATATATATATATATATATGTATCTTCCTAGTACTACGCTTTTCTGGACTGAGATATCTGTTGTTTTTCCCAATATCTGCTATAGCCACTCTTCCAGTTTGGGGGTTATAGCTCCGAGTGCTCCATTCAGCACAAGCAACACTGATGCCTTCATTTTCCAGGCTTTTCTCTTGCTCCTCTTTGAGCCCCTATTACCATCACTTGGTATTGCGATGTCCACCACCACGGCTCTGCTCTGTTGCTTATTCACCACCATTATGTCTGATTGGTTCAGCATCACCATCCTGTTGGTCTGTATCTGGAAGTCCCACAGGATCTTGGCTCGGTCATTCTCCACAACCTTTGAAGGTGTTTCCCACCTTGATCCTGGGGTCTCCAGCCCGTACTCTGCACAGATGTTTCTGTACACTATGCCCACCACTTGGTAATGTCGCTCCATGTATGCTTTTCCTGCCAGCATCTTACACCCCGCAGTTATGTGCTGGACTGTCTCAGGAGCCTCTTGGCCTTGTCCTTGATGTACTCTAGGAGCTTGGATGTTTCATCCTGGACAGTGGTTCCCACACTCACTAGTCCACGGCCTCCTTCCTTCCGGCTTTCATACAGTCTCAGGGTGCTGGATTTGGGATCGAACCCTCCATGCATGGTCAGGAGCTTTCATGTCTTAACATTTGTGGTCTGTATCTCCTCCTTTGGCCAGCGTATGATTCCTGCAGGGTATCTGATCACTGGCAGGGCGTAGCTGTTTATTGTCTGCGCCTTGTTCTTGCCATTCAGCTGGCGTCTTAGGACTTGCCTTATTCATTGCAGGTATTTGGCGGTAGCCGCTTTCCTTGTTGCCTCTTCAAGGTTACCATTTGCTTGTGGGATACCAGCGTACTTGTAAATGTCCTCAACGTCTATATAAATATAAATAAATAAATAAATAAATAAATAAATAAATAAATAAATAAATAAATATATATATACTTTCTCTCTTTATAAATAATAACATATGAATGTATAAATAATAATAAAATCAAATCTGTTATAAAATGTCAGTAACCTCTAAATAATTGACCAACCAACACGTCTATGGGCAGTGAAAATGTTTTTTTATTTTATTGCCTGAGCCCATATTAGTCTTCACTGTGAAAACTATGCCTGGTTCTAACATTTGCTTTTTCTGTCTGCTATGCCATTCATTTGCCTTCCTCTTCGCTCCTGTCATGGCGAGGTTCTGCAGCTGGTGAAATGTTCTGACATTCAGTCCTGCCTCTGACTCCAGAACCCAAATGCTGACAAATACACACTCCTGTTCTGGATGGTCTAATTGGGCCAACCTGTTTAGGATAGCAGGATTATTCAGCATTTCTACTGAAACATAGTATGGGTGAGTATTCTTCACATTGCGGGGACTAAATTCTTTTTACACATTCAATTCATGGGGACCTGCATCCTTTATGGGGACAAAAATCAGTTCCCCATGAAAAATAAATAAATGTTGATAAAAACTGAAGACCAACAGCATGATTTTAAGATATGTGTTAAAATAGGTCAGAGTTTAGATTAAAGTTAGGACCAGCCTCCAGGAAATGAATGGAAGTCAATGTAATGTCCCCAAATAACATGTAAACCTAACGTGTGTGTGTATGTGCTTTCCCAGTGACACTTAAAGCAGTCCCTGGAGAGCTCCATGTCAACTCCTGCTCTGACACATCTGTCATGGTCTTCAGGAAGAAGTCCCTTTATGGATATCACACTGGTCCAGAGGATTTCACATACAGGAAGCACACCGGAGGAAAGTCTGAAATATTAATGCCATGAGCTTGTTGGGTAATTACTGTTTCCTCAAATATACTTCAGTAGTGTTCCTTTCTTTCCTTCAACAGCAATGTTGAGTGAAGAAGTGTGCCCCTGCTACAATAGTAGAGTTCTTTTCTTTCCTTCAACAGTAACGTTGAGTGAAGAAGTGTACCCTGCTACAAGAAAATCAAGACTGGTTCTACCTGTCCATCCAATCAGTTCAATAATTCACNTTTAATTTGAGTCAAAATTTATGAATCTGGGTTATAAAAGATGTGTCACATGTTTGTGTAACATACAGACATATAACACTCTTGATAAAGAGCAGAAACCACCACAGGAGCACCTCAGGGTGCCACAGTGCCTCAGTAGAGGTCACAGCAGATGGACACTAAGTAGAAGACACCACACACTGGACACGCACGACACACACACATACATGACATAAACCGTGGTCTCATACACAAACACACAAACACAGACAGCAGCAGATTTTCAGGGACAGGTGGGACAGTTTACGTCTCATAGGACCTGTCAAAAGAAGTCAGACTTTAAGTCATTTCAAACAGAGTTAGAGGCTGAGTTCAAGAGACAAGTACAACTCATTTCTGTATTTGTACCATCTTTCTGAATTTCTTATGACATTTGACATTATGAGCAAGGTTCATTTCACAGCACTTTTTAAAAAACATGACCAGAACTATTGTCAAGATTTCAAAACATGTTTATGGAGGGCTAAACTACACAGTTAGCAGCTTTTGCACACAATAAGCTCTCATGGAGACACAGGGTCAGTCTGGTCTTTATAGAAGACTTACTATGACCAACATAAGTGAAATCCTCACAATAGCACTGTGAGCCTAGTTCTCCTCCTGTGTCTTGAGCAGACTATGGAGGAGGAGGTTGAGTAGGAGGACAGGTGGAGGGAGGTACCTTCTCTCCAGAGTTCCCAACCAGCTCCTGAACAGGCCAAGCTCACTGACGGAGGGAGGACGGGAGGGCGGAGCATGCAACAGAACAAGGCTTACCCACGCGGACACACGGCGCACGGCACCCACAGCACCCACACAGAGAACCAAGGGACAGCACCCAAGCACAGAGCACCCAGACAAAGCACCAACTCAGTATACTAATATAGAGCACTAAAACAGAGCACCCACACAGAGGGAGGGGATACTTGGACTCTAAGTGAATCTTTTATCTTGAGTTACTGGGCTCCACAATAAACAATGGCCAAGCAGACTGCAGTTTTTAAAAAACAATAGAAGCAGAGGCCATAACAAAAGCCTGTGAGATATGACGCATACATAAGTTTCCTTTCTAGAGGTTCATCTGTATGTCTGACACATATCTGCACATACGCTGTATTGACAGTGGCTTAAAGTGTGTATTACAGGTGTGGAGGGCGCTGTTATCTGGTGAGATAATATATGTTGCAAATATAAATTATAGTTTTATACAAATAAAAAAGCAATTTGTGAATAAAAGTTGAAAACCATGTTGAAAATGACAGGAAGTAGAGAGTTCTATTTTAGAGAGCTCCACATTGATGATATTGCACTGGGAGAAATCTATCCAAAAGTTTACTACAATTTACACAAGAAACTAATTTTTCTGATACTTAACACATTATCTCAACAAAATATAGGTGTTCTCTTATATCTGCATTTGTCAAATCATAATCTCTGTGACATTAGAGGAGCTTTGGAACAATATGGTTGCTAGGTAACAGTTATGGAATCCCCTAGTGTGAGTAAAATTAGAAAGCATGAAAATACTGCCAAACTGGGAAACAAATGCTAACAATTTTAGCAAAAATCTTAAATATCTTAAGTGTGTTTAAATAAAATGAGCAGTTCAACCTGTCATATACACTTTAAAAGCTCCAGCAGAGGCCTCAATAAACTACAGCATGATTTGTGCAGACTGTGCAACATTACCTTCAGTCTATCAGAAGGGGGCACTGTACTAAATGTGGCTGCAACAGTTTTTTGCCTTGATTAGTGTTTATAGGATCAAAATGAGTCTTCCACATTTGCTTTTGTACACTCTGGATTCTAAATACTGGTGAAGTGAATGGTCCATGAAAAGCCCCAATCAGTCTCTACTTGGCAAACAGTGGACAGTGCTTGTCGTTTGTCCCTAAAGAGAGTGGTCCAAGTGTCCCCTGAGCCCAGACACTGCAGAGGACACACACAGAGGACACCAGCACATGGATCAGAGCACTGGTCACACACTGTGGAGCATGCATATGTGCTAAAAACAGGAAGTGTACGGCCTGTTTTTAGAGGCATTCATGCTGATCATACTGCAGCAAACAAGAGGAGTGGGCCATAGGGGCAGGGATACAAGGGCAGATGGGTACAACCATCTATGAAATATCTGTCCATTTTGACACCATGAGGACAATAATTTTTTTTAAACCCGACATAATGGCCGTTTCTGGTATGAGATTAAGACTATACTAAAACTTGTCAATAAGGACAAAAGCCACTGGAGGCGGCACCCTCACTGTTCTTGACCAGAAAGTTCTAAGGTGACCTAGTTTACACTAAAATTGCCACAAAGGACTAGGACCAGTAGTGAATGCTGATTTAGTGTTTAGTGTTTTCACAAAACTGACTCTTTGTATTAGTTATTTGGAATGTGCAGACTTGTGTGTGTAATACTGTTAAAGTAACTCCAGCGCTAACTAGTACTAAAGCTGTTGAGATGTGAAGCTGACCTGCCTCTTTCAAAGTACTGCTGTACTGTAGGTGAGTAGAGCGAGTGATGGAGCAGCTCTGCCTGGTCCAACCTGCGCTGCTCTGTGTCCTGTGTACACAAACCTAAGCGAGGATGGACGCACGGAGGGAGGATGGAAGGAAGAGAAAGAGGGAGGGAAGGAAGGAAGGAAAAGAGGGAAGGAGAGAGGTAGGGAAGGAGAAAGCGGGAGAGGATGGGATGCAGGGAGGGGAGGATGGAAAGAGAGAGGGAGGGAGAGAGGAAAGGAAGGAAAAGATAAAAGGAGAGAGGAAAGGAAAGAGAAAGGGGGAGAGGAAGGGAAGGGGGGACAGTACAAGCGAAGAGGGAGAGAGGAGAGGGAAGAAGAGAGGAGAGTGAGTGAAGTTGAGAGGGAGTGAGGTAGAGAGGGAGGTAAAACCGGCTGGTCTGGTTGTGTTCACAGGCACTGGGTAATCAGAGCTCAAGTGACTGCTAAAAGACAGCCTCAAAGCAGACTCTCTCCCCGGATACTGTTGCTAAGGAACTGCTCACAGAAGGGCTCAGTTTAGTGCAGCTCATGTGCACATAATGCAGCGACACAGCACCGGGACGCTGGGCTCTTTACTCTACACATACATACACTTCTCATATACCTTTTATGGTACTCTAAACACACAAGTCAATCTGGCAGTGCTCCGAGGAGATTAGATTTCCTGGTAGTGGTCCAATCACAGCCAAGGGGGCAGAGTTTGTGACGGGTCATATCCAGCATCACAATAGAGCACAGTGCGCTGGCTTTTGTTGTTACATAAGTCAGATTCACATTAAGAGAGTTTAAAGGTGCGACAGAGGCTTACGTGGTCACTAGAAGGATCACTTTTTTTTTTAAATTAAACTTTAAAATGCAACCAAATATATTTAGACCCTTCTGGTTTATCAAAATTCAGAAATAGTTTTCAACAAAAATCTTATGGTCACGAGTTGCTGCATAGTGTCATTGTGCCCCATCAAGTTATATTTGCAAAGTCTGAAGTGGGACTAATCACCTGGTCACCCACACTCCAGGCCAAAACACACCTCCCAACTGGGCACCGCCTTATAAAGCATATGACAGGCTTTTCTAATTCTCACTTGGTTTGGTGGGATAGTACACAATATTTATCACAGATTTACATCAGTTTGTGTAGTTTAGTATTTTGCTTCTCCATTTTTTCCACAAAAACTTCTTCTGTGGGCATCACCACAGAAAACTCCAACCAAAATGCAGATGCACTTTATGCACAAGGAAGGACTTCTTCTGACATTTAACCATTCACAAAATAAAAGTGTTGTCTTTTGTTCTGTTCTGGAATTTAGGATTTATCCCTTCATTACATTAGGTAACAGTTATGGCATTAACTTTAAAGGCCCTGTCTTATGTAAAATAATAATAAATAATAAATATCTCCTTAAAAACAGATGTAGACTTGTGTTTTCTTTCATTCACCCCTGCTTGAGTAGTCTTTTATTATGAGTCTGTCTACATCTCCAAAGCTCTAAATGCTCTGTTCTACCTTGTGATGTCATGCAGTGGTAACAGCTGTCTTTACCATTAGTTTAGTAGAGATTAATTCTAGTGCTGAAATGATCAAAAATGATTCTAGTGAAGGTGTAGAGAGTTTAAAAACACAATGGAGCACTTCCTGTATTACCACATGACATCACAAAGTGGAGTGAGTGTTTTCCTCTTGAACAAGAACACCGCCTAAATATGCAGGGTCTGAGTGTTAATCATGTGTGAATGAGACAAAACACAACTCCAGGTCTGTTTGTGATGAGAAAACAACATAATAACAGATGAGAAAAGAACATAAAACAGGTGAAAGCTGTCATGCTCCTGTAGTGTACGACTCCAACTACACTACACACATTCTCCTGGTCAGGGCATGCGTTTGATAGAGGCACCTGAGGTCACACTGGACCTCTTGGCAGAGTTGAAGCGAAGCCACAACGCAGGAAATGAACTTCTTTTGGATTTAAATGGAAAATGAAAAAAATTGATTTTGATACTAAAATTCCATCTATACAGTTTTCAGCAAAAGCCCACTTGTTTACACTAAGTCTATGCAGAAAATCAATGAGAATTTGACTTTCTGAACCATGCCACACCTCTTGAGCATTATCTGTACACCTGACAATAGAATGATTTTCAACATTAAATGGTAATACTTTCTTTTCTATTCCCATGTGGCCTTTTATCTGTGTAATTCCTCAGTGGTCCAGGTAGGTTCCATAGTGCTGCTCTACAAAGTCAGAACGCCGAAACATCATGGTTGGTCAAAAATTTGTTCACTTCATTTTGTTTGTATTTGAGACCTACTTTATCATGTGAATAAATATTGGAAAAAATATTTCCCGATATATTTCCTTGACCCATTTGTCAGTTCCTGTACTCTGCCTTTGTATTATGAGCCAAAATTAAAGAGTCATGCAAAGGCCAAAGGCAGAAACGATGTATGTTTTTTTTGTGATTTAGTTCATAAATATATTTGATTTTAAAATCCAACCTCTCACCTCCTACTTTTTGTTTTGGCCTTGGCACAGGGTCTTATTCTAGTCTGTATTCAATTCTATGTCAATAATCTTAATTGTGACAGTACTGTGTGTATTTATTCAAACTGTACACACTCTACTGTAAAGTCACTTGTGTTAAACTGTTTCACTTTTGGAAGTGTCGCCGCACGATCCTGATCAGCACTAAACAGGAAATCCAAAGCTCTTGTATTTCATTTGAAACAAACACATGATGACTCGATATTGGTGAGATGTTCTTATAATGGATGGAAGTCTGGGCAAAATCAACCAAATAATCATGATCATGTCAGTTTCTGCCTTTTGTCTTTGCACGACTCCTTATTTTTGGCTCATGATACAAAGGCAGAGAACAGGAACTGACAAATAAGGTCAATTTTGAGCTCAATATTTTTCACATACAAATATTTCTTCATTATAGAAACTAGATTTTGGGAAATTTTGGGAGCCCTGCCTATTCTACTTTTATCTGGACAAAACAGAAACTTTGAATCATTTTTTTCTCAGTTTCACACTCTGATGAGGTAAGGTTTTTTGCCTTCGTAGGACAGAGTGGTCCATGTACTACCATGTGCTCTTTTTTACACTTGTTCTGGTTAATTGTTGTCCTATCTTTGGGACTTTTTTACTACCGATACGTGCTCAAATAATGATCTAGTTTCAGTACTAGTTTTAGTGTTGATTAGTAGCTGATCCTTTTGACAGCCTTAGTCGTCTAAAAAACACATACATACTTTCCTCATGTAACTGTACAGGTACTTTTCTTTACCCAGGAGTCATTTGGTGTTTAATGTTTTAGTAATAATGATGAAGATGAGGATGAGTGGGTGAGGAGGACTTGCCTGGAGCGGGGCGCGTGCAGCTCGGAGGGACAGGGGTGGTTGGAGGACGAGTGAGACTTTTGGTGTCGGGGGCGCGAGGACGATGAGGAGAGCACGGCCGTGGCAGAGGCGGTGGATGCACGGGACCCCGGGGTGTTCAGGCTGAGGGAGGAGGGAGGAGGAGGGAGGGGGAGAGGGGGACCCGCCCAGCACGCACACACATGAAAACACACAACACAGACATCCACAAACACATGGAGCGGGTGAGTGTGTGGCAGGGCAGGACGGAGCATGGTTAGCAGCAGTACATGTCACACATGATAATGGCAGCAAGAGAGGGTGAGTGGGTGAGTGAGAGAGTGAGAGAGTGAGAGAGTGAGAGAGTGAGAGAGTGAGAGAGTGAGAGAGTGAGAGAGTGAGAGAGAGAGAGAGAGAGAGAGAGAGAGAGAGAGAGAGAGCGAGAGAGCGAGAGAGAGGCGGGGGGAGGCGGGGGGGTGCAGACAGACAGAAGGAAGAGAGAGAGAAATGGAGAGAGAGAAAGAGAGACAGACAAGGAGAAGGAGGTGAGAGAGAGAGAGGAGTAGGGAAAGCTAGTGAAAAGGGAGAGAGAAGGAGCAGGGGGAGAGAGAAGGAGGAGGTGAGCAGGAGAGAGGATACGGAAAAGAGAAAGAGCAAGGGAAGGGGGGAGATGGGGAGGAGGGTCAGAGCCGGTGCTCAAAGTTCATCGTTCCTAAAACTTTAATAAAAACATATAATAAACAAATCCAATGAAACTATTCAGAAGACAGAATAGTTGGATTTGAATTGCTTAATTGCTCTGACCCAGAAGGCCGTTGCCATGGCTTGAAAACCATGAATACACTGGATTCTAAAGTCCTCCAGCTGTGAGTCACATGGCATTATCCACAGAACTCTGTCAGTACCTGTTCAGAGGTCATGTGACAAGCTCTAATGTCCTGCTGCAGCACACAATTGAATTAGAGGAGCTCAAGAAGAGAGCCATTTCCTCAACTTTGTGTTAATGATCCTGGTTGCTATGGCAACGCAGGACTGCACTGACACCATAGTGAGGGTACTCACTACGGTAACGAGGGACGCATGCGAGGAGAAAGACGAGAAAGAGAAGAGGGGGAGAGAAAGAGAGGGGAAGTTTCTGAGGAGAGTGAGATAAGAGAAAAAACACAAGAGGGGGAAGAAGATAGTGGGAGATTGGAGAGGCCGGAGAGAGGAGAGCAGAAAGAGGGAGACAAAGAGGGACAGAGCTGGAGTTAGGGAGGAGAGAGACCATGAGAAAACAGCAGGTGAGGTGAGGAAAGGAAGGGATTTCAGAGGAATGAGGAGAGAGAGAATATTAAGAAAATGAGAGAGGAGAGATGGAGTAAGAGAGGGAAAAAGAAAGCTGAAGGGAAAAGGATATGAGAAAGGAGAGATGGAGGAGGGGAGTTTTTTGATGAGAGAGAGGCAGAAGGGGGAGGAGGTTTTCTGAGAAGAGGAGAGAGAAAAAGGTATATATGAAGAAAAGAGTGGGTGAAAGAGAGGAGAGACTATGAGAAAGAGAAATAGAGCAATAGAGTGAGAGAAATAGAGAGAGACAGCAAGAGAGATGGGAGGTTCTGAGGAGAGGAAGGGATTTCAGAGAGGAGAGAGCGAGAGAAGAGAGACATATGAGAAGATAAGAGCAAGAGGAAGAAGACAGACTTTGAGAGAGAGAGAGATGTGGGAGGAGAGCTGATAACACAATGAGCAAACTTTAACCAGGTAAAATAATGCTGATGGTTGAGTTAGCACAGGAAACCCACAGTACATAAGCAGTTCTGTCTGACACGCCCCTCCTCTGTGTTTGTGTGTGTGTGTGTGACATGAGACATGGAGAGGGGAGAGGGCGTGTCAGAGAGGACATGACACTGACCATATGAGTGTGTGACAGCTGATATGGTGAGGCTTCACTTTAACGGGGACATATTATACCATGTACACGTTCGTGTTCACTTGTTATTGGCTTCCTCAAAGTTGGATTTCAATTGGTTCATGCATGTTTGAGCAATCCTGCATTATCCTGCATTTGACGGTTAAGTGCTCAGTAAATGTCAGTTTTCACTTACCCCGTATCCCCACCCACTGCTCTGTACTTAGGAGTTGTTGAGTGATGTCACTTTCGACTCTGACCAGACACTTTACAGCTGATTTCTATCTTTTTCAGCAAACAAGAGCAAACTACCTTTCAAAAGTGCAAGTTTAACTAAACAGTGTCAAACATGTTATGGTTATAAATACGTTAATATACAGCTGCTAATACTTCATCTGACTTGAACTGTACTGCACTGTACACTAGTGTTTTTAGCTTCATGTATTTATTTACTGTTATTATAGTGGTTAGAGATGTTATTTGTTGTGTCTGTGCACGTAAATGTTGTCCTGTCTTGCACTTTAATGTTTGTCCTCTCTTGTCTATGAATGGGATAGAGAGAAACATACATCTGATTCATTGTATGTCTAGTACATGTGAAGAAATTGACAATAAAGCTAACTTTGAAATGTAAATGATGTATTAATAGCCTAGCATAACATAACATAGCATTACCAGTGTATCTCATGATCTGCTTAACTCTAACTTAGCCTAGCCTAGTTTTTTACCTCAGTCTCCCTCAGTCTCCCTTGTCACAGCAGTCTATAGATCCATGCTTATAACCTTGTTAGCTTTAAACAAATCTCTTAATGTGAGATGTGCTGACGCTAAAAAAGAGGAAACTGTAACATGTTCATTATTTTCAATCAGCTGATGGACCCAAAAGTGACATCACACTTAACAATTCTATTGTGAAGTTGTTTGCTGTGTTTTTATTGTTTACCCAGAGTCTGAATTAAAACAAATTAAAATACAGCTCTTCATGTAGTGAAACGTCACTATGACGAGAATCCAAGTGGAAGTCAGTAGATGAGGTTCAATTATGTGGTTTACAATGAACACAATGTAAACTCCGTTGAGTATTTGCCATGTTTTCTAGCACTAAATACCAGAAATAAAGCATAATATGTCCTCTTTAACATGGAAGCTCAGGAAGCATAATGCACAGTAAGCATTGCGGGACAGGGTCATGATGAGTACTGCTGTACTGCCTGGTTCTTCGATGGTTTGGGTCAGTGGGCATTACTCTGCTGGAGTGTGGGATCTTGGGCTGGGGGGGGGATTGTGGGCGGAGCTCTGGGGAACGCAACTCACACTGACTGGGCGGAGTGTGCGTGCGGTTGTGTGTGTGGCGTACCTGTCTTTGCCATTGTGGATGCCGGACCCTAGTGTAGCCCTCTCGGTCTGAGGGGAGGTTCTGCTGCGGCTGCCAGTGGACAGGATGCTGTTCTGTGGTGGTCAGACAACAGGGACACATTGAGGTGGACTGGAACAGGTCTAAAAGGGCCTCTATTATACAATTTCTAATTAGAACTAGAAATGTATTAATTTCTGATCCATGACATAATGTTTCCTCATCACAAACAGACCTGGAGTTCTGTTTCATTCACACATGTTTAACACACAAACCTGCACATTTAGTTCTTCTCTTAAACAGAAAACACTTTTTACCACCTTCTGATGTCATGTGGTAATACAATGTGCTCCACTGTGTTTTTAAACTTCATACATCTTGACTAGAACCATTAGGATAATTTCAACTCTGACATTTCCTCGAAAGGTAAAAAGAGCTGTTCACTTGAAAACTACCGCCTTTATGACATCACAAGGTGGAACAGACCATATTGACCCTTGGGGATGTGGACAGACTAATGTAGAATTATTCAAATGTGTAAATGAAACAAAACGCAACTCCAGCTATGTTTTGAGGAGGAAACAACATTATATAGATGAGAAAATAGCGTAGTACGGACCCTTTAAATTGGACTAGGCCAGTTATCTGGTTTTCATTAGAGTTTTCGGTTGTGTTTGGAATGGACACATGTCTGGTGTGTGGTGTGTGTTCTCACAGTGGAGGGGGTGGCGCTCTTCTTGCGGTCCGGGGGTAGGGGGCTGGCTGGGACCTTGGTGGTGGAGCTGCCGGACGAGCCCTTCCTGCTGGAGTCCTCGGTGGTGCCGCTGCCTTTGTCCCCCTGTCCTCCTCTCTTGGAGTAGGACGACCCTGGGGACAGAGGACACGTGAGTAGTGTTCCCCCCCTTTTTCTCTCCCTCTCTGCCCGTCCACACCAACCCAGCTTACCCTGGTCAGTGGCTCTGCGGTTTGGAGGCTTCTGGTTGGATGACACGCTGCGCTGTACCTGAGAAAGGAGGCAGAGGGGCAAGATTTATACAAGATCTTTAGAACAATCATACAAATAATTTCAAAAGCACTGGAAATCTAAATATACACTACCAGTTCAAAGTCTAGACTACTTTCTCTTTCAGTGTTCTTGCTTTATGTGAAACACTACTACTGAAGACATCAAATACATGAAGCAATTTAAATAACTCTAACATCTTTTATATTTTAGATCCAGATCTCAGATATCCACCCGTTGCAAATTCTTAGTCTTCTCTCAGTGATGAAGTCTCCTGAAATAGTTTTCCCTTCACTGCTGTGCCTTGTCAGGGTTCATTTTCAGAATACCAAGAGTGCAAGACAGCGATTAAAGCAAAGGGTAAAGGCTATTCTGAAGAATCCAACAAAATGTTTTGAGAAGGGGTGGGCAAAAGTTTTGAAATATTGATATATTATACTGTACAGTATCGATATCGTGGGATGCTGTATCGATATACCAAAAAATACTCTACTCAATTAATTTGTTACAATGCTACAGTTTTGTTGCTTGTTTAGACAAATTTTTTTATGCAACACATCTGACAGTTTCACTGCTTTGATAATTAAAGTGTTTGTGTTTTAAATGAACTTTGTACAAGAAGTGGTTCAACAAAGACTGGGCAATATCGAATCGATTTGAAATATATTGTATCGAATCGAAAGCTCATTGTATTGTAGTAGATATTTATCATATTGTGACCAGTGTATCGAGGTATTTATTGTATCGGCAACTTCTTAATGATACCCAGCCCTAGTTTTGACCCATTTCACTCTTTTTTGTTTATTCCATTCCATGTGTGTTCATTCATTGTTTTCAATTTTCTGTGAGAATCTACTAGTGCTGTCATGAGACCAAAATTGAGAATGTGATTTTCAACATGGTAGTACAAATGGTAGTACTTTCTTTCATATTACCACATGGCCTATATCTGTGTACAGTGTTCCCTCGTTTATCGCAGGGGTTACATTCTAAAAATAACCCATGATAGGTGAAATCCGCAAAGTAGTCAACTTCAATTATTCTATCTGTTTTAAGGTTGTAAAAGCCCTCACCACACACTTCATACACTTTTCTCACACAGGACAGATAACCCTTTTTACATCCTTCTTAAAACTTATTGCTGCTGTCGTCCTTTTCTTATTTCTTATTTTGGTCCTTTATGTAACAAACCGAACATTCATTTATTTCATAATGGAGCCCTACAGCACAGAGTCCTACACGGGTCCATTTTTGGAGACCCACACCTGCCCGCACCTGCCCGTTAACCCAAGATTACAGTCCCTGACAAAAGTCTTGTCGCTTATCCATTTTGTAGAAACAAAAGCTTATAACCTGACTTTAAATTATTCGATTGATTTTAGAAATGTCTCATATGAAAGCTAAAACCCTCCCAAATTATGCTCAATATACTAAAATAAATTTGCTTCACTGAAGAAAGATTGATCATTTAATGAACACAGAAAGGTCAGATTTTGGCAAGACAGAAGTCTTGTCGCCTTGTCATATGATGCACCCAATCCTAGATTACAGCCTCACCTGTGATCAGTAACTGATCAGTCAATTAGTGGGTGTGTATAAAAAGAACCCCAGCACACCAGACCTTCACATCAACTGCAACTTGACCTCTGACAACATGCCTAAGATCCACCCTGAGACCAAAGCGTTAATTATCAAGAGGCTGAAGACCAGATCCACTGCTGAGGTGGCTGTAGTGGCCGTTTAACTCCAGTCTGCCACTATAGCTGTGAGGGCTGTGTGGCTTTAGCTTGACTCCTGTGTCTAAGATGAAAACCAAAAGATTCAAAGTCCAAACTTACAGAATATTGGTTATGAGGTTTAATTGTAGATGCAGATTCCATAACTGAAGATTACACAATATATCCAGATCACACGGTCAAAAAACTGTATGGCCTCAACCCCCTACAGCTTCCACACAAAGAATAATCAGGCCACAAAGGCCACCTGGCTATGAGCCACTAGGCTCCACCCCTAAGGCTCCACCCCAAACACCTTGAACCAATGTGGGACAAAAATGGTCGTAACACTCCCGGCCCCTAATTATAATGCAGGAGCACTTATAATTACCAAAACAGAAAATTTCCAATTTTTCTTTACATCTATAAGTTACCAATTTACCAATAACCTTCTTTTCTACTTTCTACTAAATGATACTCAATTTGCTTTTAGCTATTACATCTAGTTTAATGTTAACTCTATCAATAATATCCCCACAATTACAAGTCATTATTTCAATAAAAAAAAACATTGTTTCACAAGATGTTACATCACTGTCTTTTTAGCTGCCACTGTTTAATTTTCTTCCACTTTCTCTCGTATGCTGGCATTTCCATTTCCTTTTGTAAATCCAGTTAGTCCAAGGTAACTTCATAAGTTGCCTTTCCACAGTTCCTGAAGAGACAGGTCTGATAGGTCTCGTTGTTTGTCCATAGTTCTCATTCTATCAAATGAATCACTGGTATTCCCGGCCCCATTTGGGGTAGTCATAACATAACTTGAGTATACTGCTGCACTGGGAATCAAATCAGGTTCTTGGTTTCTTCCAGAACTTTCCCGTTTGGGGTGATTTTGTGATTTATAGATGTGGAGAACTTTTGGATGTTCTCTGGTGCATGTAGAACAGGAAAGCTTGTTTCTGCAGTTTTGGGCAAGATGTCCTTTATTCAAGCAACTAAAACACAGGCCTGCTTTTCTTAGTATGCTAAGTTTTTCTGGGTGGTGTCTAGAAGCAAACTGGAAGCACTCTAAAAATGTATGAGCCTTTTCACAATAGAAGCAAGGCTTGGTAAAGGCACTCCTTGGTCTACCCTTCAGGATGTTCTTGTTTCTCTCAAATTTAACTGACCCTTTTTCAACATTTCTTGAAGCTGCGAACTGAAGATTTCAAAACACTGGGTCATTGAGAATTCTTGCTTCACGGGTGACAAAAGAAATCAGATCCACAAATTTTGCCATTGCACCTGTATTATTTAAAATGTCAAATGCATATTCTCTCCACTTCTCTCTGGTCTTAAATGGAAACTTTGAGATGACAATTTTCAGGTTGGTTGTACTGTCCATTTCAGCCATGTAATCCATTTCCTTCATGATATTACTGCAGCTCACCAGAAAAATGGAAAAGCTATTGAAAGCTTTAGAATCCTCTGATTTTATCTGAGGCCATTCAAACAACTTGTCCATCAGAGCAGTGGCTATTCTGACTGGATGTCCATAGAAGTCCTCCAGTAAGCGCATAGCTTCAGCATATCCTTGAGATATATGGCATATGCTGCTCAACATCTGAGGTTCACCTCTTGTATATTTCTCCAAATAGTATAGCTTATCTGAGTTATTGTCTGTTCTTGAGCCAATTACATGATTAAATGCTTTCACAAAAGACTTGAACTCAAGAGGGTCTCCAGTAAAAACAGGAATATCAAGTTTGGGAAGTTGCACCATATTCAGTTGTTTCACAAGCATCTCTGTGATGTCCAGCTGTCGCTTTAATAACTCCAAAATGTCCCTATGGAAGTTTGGCTCCACTTGTACCATGCTGACAGACTTGGTGGACACTGGCAATTTATCCACACTATTTGCATCTTCCACAGTAAAGTTCAACATATCTTCATCAATTTCTTTATCCAAATCAGCAATATCATAGTCTTCATCAAAGTCTTTCATTTGATGTTCTTCTTCCAGGTTATGGATATATTTTACCTCTTTTGTCTGTTCTGTTGTCTTTGGCACCATCTTTTGTCCATCTTCTGTAACTGTAGTAGCTCCATGTGGTTCCTCTTCAGTTGGTGGTGTGGGGCATTTGAACAAAGAACCCAACAAACCACATCCAATTAAGCACACTGCAAGACACTGGCTTTTCCACACATCAAAATGCATGTGCATCTTGGTCCAAAAGTTGATCTTTGGTTTCAACTGGAATGTGCAGTATATATTCCAAACAAAGCCAACAACAATAATCCATCCATTGTCCATCTTGTTTGGTTAGTCCACAATTTCTTCAGAGTCCAAAAAGCAGCCAAGTTTTTTGACTGAATGTAGTGGCTGTTTAACTCCAGTCTGCCACTATAGCTGTGAGGGCTGTGTGGCTTTAGCTTGACTCCTGTGTCTAAGATGAAAACCAAAAGATTCAAAGTCCAAACTTACAGAATATTGATTGAGGTTTAATTGTAGATGCAGATTCCATAACTGAAGATTACACAATATATCCAGATCACACGGTCAAAAAACTGTATGGCCTCAACCCCCTACAGCTTCCACACAAAGAATAATCAGGCCACAAAGGCCACCTGGCTATGAGCCACTAGGCTCCACCCCTAAGGCTCCACCCCAAACACCTTGAACCAATGTGGGACAAAAATGGCCGTAACAGTGGCTGACACCTTCAATGTGTCTCAGGGTCAAGTACAAAGAATAAGAAAAAGATTTGAAATGACTGGAGATGTTTTTGACAAGCCCAGGTCCCGCAGACCCCGCAAGACAACTGCTCGGGAGGACCGTTTGTTGATTCGAAAATCCAAGGCCAGCCCCTTTTCCACTGCAGCAGAGCTCCACCAGACCTGGTCACCTCAAGTCCCTGTGTCAACCAGAACAGTTTGTAGAATTCTGTCTCAAAATGGCCTCCATGGTCAAATCAGTGCACAGAAACCAGCACTAAACAAAAAGACAATTAAACCGTGTGGCATTTGCCAAGGTCCACAGCCTGCTAAAAGGATGGACACTGGAAAAGTGGCAGAAGGTGGATTTCTCAGATGAATCCTCGGTTGAATTACATCACAGCCACCACAAATATTGCAGGAGACCTACTGGAGCCCGTATGTATCCAAGATTCACCCAGAAAACAGTTAAGTTTGGTGGCGGAAAAATCATGGTCTGGGGTTACATCCAGTATGGGGGTGTGCGAGACATTTGCAGGGTGGAAGGCAAATATCAATAGTCTAAAATATCAAGAAGTATTAACAACCTCTTACATTCCCAACCATAAAAGGGGTCAAATTTTGCAGCAGGATGGTGCTCCATCGCATACTTCTATCTCTACATCAAAGTTTCTCAAGGCAAAGAAGATCAAGGTGCTCCAGGACTGGCCAGCCCAGTCACCAGACATGAACATCATTGAGCATGTCTGGGGTAGAATGAAAGAGGAAGCATGGAAGGCAAAAGCAAAGAATCTTGATGAACTCTGGGAGGCATGTAAGACACTTTCTTTGCTATTCCTGATGACTTCATCAACAAATTGTATGAATCATTGTCAAACCGCATGGATGCGTCCTTCAAGCTCATGGAAGTCATACAAGATATTAAATATGGATCTCACAGCACCACTACTTAATTCACTGACGTTATGCAACATATTTTTGTATCTGAAGTAAATTATTTGTTCAATTTTCTGTAGGCGACAAAACTTTTGTCTTGCCAAAATCTGACCTTTCTGTGTTCATTAAATGATCAATCTTTCTTCAGTGAAGCAAATTTCTTTTAGTATATTGAGCATAATTTGGGAGGGTTTTGGCTTTCATATGAGACATTTCTAAAACCAATCGAATAATTTAAAGTCAGGTTATAAGCTTTTGTTTATACAAAATGGATAAGCGACAAGAATTTTGTCAGGGACTGTATATCAAACTTTTGTGCTGTACATGCCATGGACTGAACCAAGACTAACCCAGGACTAAACTAGGAATGATTCCAGGATTGAAACAGAAGGACTAAACCAAGACTGAACCAGGACAACTTGCAAACTTGCAAACATACAGCACTTCACAATCACACTGCTAGAGATCCAACATTTATGTAAATTTGTCAGTTGAACACATTCTGTTCTGTAGGAGACACGGCACGGAGGAGATTGATTGACAATGGTCTACAATCCCTTAGCCAATCAGGACGCAGGGGGAGGAACACAATGTGCGTTCATACACTGTAAAAAAAAACATGCAAAATTGCACACAAAAAAATCTGCGAAACAGCGAGACCGCGAAAGGTAAACGGCGATATAGTGAGGGACGACTGTATAGAGTCTATGTGCTCTTATAGATCTTGATACAGCTCAAGATCCTTTTAATGTTATTCAGGAAATGTTCATTTCTGTCCTGTGTATCGATACTTGTTCAAATGAGGATCTAGTTTTTAATACTAGTTTTAATATTGATTAGTATCCGATTCACAATACTTTTGCCAACCCTAGAATCTACAGTGTAAAGAGCCCTAAAGTGTGTTCAAACGTTTGACTGGTAGTGTCCGTGTTGTTTATTTGCTTGGTTCTGGAGAAGGGCATTTGCATTAGAAACCATGGGGGCATGTCTCGAATGAAACAAATGCCCACCCCTATCTATTGCACTATGCATGTTAGCAAGCCCACATTAGCAACAAGGTCGAATGAAGGGGCTGCTGGTTAAATAACAGGGAACAGAACCAGGGCCATGTGGAGCTTTGTGAGACCCTCCTGCAACATTAAGTTTTGTGCAATGGAATCATTTCTCTTTGTCTAATCTAACTTCATCAGAATGTTAAGTGTTAAAGGCACCCAACTAATGTATACAGTCTTACTGTAAAGTATCTGCATTGTTACTTTGCAGCAACACCACACTGGGGGTGTTCTGCGTGTGTCTATAGAAGAATGTTCTGCAGTTACCCTGGTAACACAAAACGCCCATTAGCAAACACAGCCTGAGAAGTTTTTAGACTGGTCTTAAATCAAATGCAAAATCCATTTAAACAACACATTTTCAGGAGTCTTTGGTCAACATAAGTATTGCTGGTTAAAAACATAGGTGAGCGTGACCATCTGAAAACTTGTAAATGCTAGTTAGCTTGTGACTGTAATGTTATTTGAGAGGCAGTTGTTTAACAGCTCAATCATCTCATCTCACCTGTTGTAGTTCCAACTAAGTCAAGTCTTGGTGTTACATTGATAAAGCTCAGATTAAAGCCTAACAACGCCTCACACAGAGCAGTGCCTACAGTTAGCATCAGACCCCCAGTGAAAGTTGATGACATCAGCTGCAAAGTATATATATAGTATATATGGAGTATAAATATGAGTAAAAGTATAGTTCCATTTGCAGTTGTGCTCACAGGACATGCAATGTTGGGGGCCCCTGGTGACTAGTGGGGCCCTGTACATGAGTGCACCTAAAGGCCCTGGCCCAGTCAAACTGCTGCTGTGGACTGCAATGTTCAGCTGCACCAAAGCGAACTGACGGTAGAGTCCCAGCACAGATGGAGTGTAAGTCCTAAAGTCCCTGCTGTACCTTGTGAAGCGGGAAGGGGGCGTTTATGTTGCTTACATCACTTCCTGGGCGGGGCTTGATGAAGCCTTCCTCCAGCTGAAAGAGAAGAGACTCATAGTCATGTTGTCAATGGAAATAAGGTCAAGTGAAAAAATGTTTTTGCTTCTATGACAACCACAAAAAATTCACATTCAATAGGTTGTGTTACTGAAAAAGGCCTCAAGTTTAAAAGGTGGTGATGGCGAGCAGGCCGAGTTTAAACTTTACATAAAGTCAACAAAGGCACTGTGGAACAAGCAGATAAGCTGCTGGGTCACTTCAGGTGATTACATTCATCACACTCTCCGAACACTTTTCAATTGACACTACAGCCTCTTTTCCATTGGCATGGTTCTACTGAGGCTTCAGAGCACGTCTGTGGAGAGGCTCCCTCCAGCCCAGTTGTGTTTCTGCTCCATGACAGACTGACGTCACTCAATCAGAACTCATGTTTTCTTAATAAAATCTAAATTGTATTTGAATTATACTCAGAATTACTAAACATCTTTTTGTGGATTTCTGAGATCGGTCTTATGATTACATGTTTGTGGCGCGGTCAAAAGAGGCTAAAGCTAGTGTAAACACTAAACTACCTCAGATTTTTCTGTATCTCTTTCACCTCTGCACTTCTAGGCTGCATTTCAACTTTATGTAATGTATTGACTTTGGCTCATGTTAGATGCATTATACACTGGAAATAGAATATGTTCAATCCTTATACACAAGTGTCGTGCGTCGATAACGAGGAAATGGCTTGTTGCTAGTGTGCTAGCTTTGTTTTGCAAAGCATATCGGCTCAACATATAATTCACATCAGTGGAAAGAGAAATCAGTGTTTGGTGAGGAATGATTATTTTCTGTTTTTTGCCATCTTGTTTTCACCTGACTCTGCATTCTCTTTTGTCCATTCATTTGGTTTGGTCATTAACTACACTTATTAACTACCTCTGGGAGCTGGAACCCTCCAGGGGTTCACTTTAAACAGTGGAGACACTTGCAGCCTGAATCAATCTGCTCCAAACTGAACCAGTGGAAACAAGACTAATGTTTTGCATTTCACATTTTAAAATCTCCATTGTCCCCCACCAGAAAAGTTACACACAGCACCTTTAAAACCTTTTGCAAATCACTTTTTAAAAATCTGGCTTAAAGAAAAAGTAAAAAAGCAGCCATGCTGGTGGTTGGTCCATTCTCCTCACCTCTGAGTTTTTGTAGTCCAGTAGTAGGTAGGTAGCCATCACATCGTTGTACTTCTGGTTAACCAGCGAGTCCTGGATCTCCTCCTGAGAGAAGCCCATTTGCAGCATGACGTCTGTGGACACAGGAGGGGGACAAACGGTTGGTATGGATGCACAGAACACAAATAAACTACACTACACAACTACCGCCAAACTCCCATTAAAACTGGACTGACTGACTGCAGGTCAGGGGGTTGTTTAATCAGAGGACTTCTTTAATTGAAGTAGGGCATCATAATATATCGAACCGATCAAAATCACACTTTGAATGGTGCAATTATTAAATCACAAAGTCTGCAATTATTTAGATAATAGAACTCAATATCTTATATAGAGTTGAAGTACAGGCCTTTATAAACATGAAAGGCATGGGATTCTTCTCCAGATCCTTCCAGGAATGACGGCTTTAGAACAGCGCACACAGCCTGGTACTATTATTGTATTTCATTCAGTAATAAAACAAGAAAATAAAAACTTTCATTTTGTAATCTGTAGATAGTGCAGACTAATAGTTGTTGTTCATATGTTTGTTATATTTGGCAAAGAGTAATGCTTGCCAGAATCCAACATCCAACATTAGTTTCTAAAATTTACCGATATGTGCAGTATATGACAGTAAAATTAGGGGTGTCAAATTATCGCGTTAATTGCGATTAATTAATTACAGTCATATTTAGCGCGTTATGTTTTTTATCGCGTTAATCTCATTTTTAATCTCTAACTTTAGTGTTTCTGTATGTGAGTTTCTTTATTATAAAACCTGTTTTTATGTGTTGTTGGGACAACAACACACACACACACACACAAAACACATTTATACATTTTTTTATTTCGGTAATTCCACTCATTGCCGGAAAGCCACACAAAACGCGCGCAGTAAGAGCAATGTAAACGCCATGTTAACGTTTACGGCGTCAGTCGCACAATGGACGAGGTCGAAGAGCCAGTAGAACAGAGTCAGCAGCGCACAGGTAAAAACACATTCGTGTCTTGGAAATTATTCTCTCGACGTGAAATATAAAAGAAAATAACAAATATAATATCGCCTGAAAACAACCTGCATAGGCTCATGATGTCTGCACTACTGTCCTATAGTGACCTGCCACATGAGGGGACACGCACACACACGCACACAAACACACACACACACACAAACACACACAAACAATCACACACCTTCATCATCGTCATTAACCTGAGAACGCGCGGACCACGTTTCCTTCCATAGACACTGCGCGGACACCGACGTGCTCCCGTGAGCCGCGTGTGGATCGTGTTTTCTCGCGTACGCGGCGTAAACCGCGCTTCCTCCTGTGCGCCTCTAAACCAGAACTAACACCAAGACTAAAACCAGGACTAAACCAGGTCTAAACCAGGTCTAAACCAGGTCTAAACCAGGACTAAACCAGGACTAAACCAGGACTAAAACCAGGTCTAAACCAGGACTAAAACCAGAACTAAAACCAGAACTAAAACCAGGACTAAAACCAGGACTAAACCAGGACTAAATCAGGACTAAACCAGAACTAACACCAGGACTAAAACCAGGATTAAAACCAGGATTAAAACCAGGATTAATCCATTCCAGGACTAAACTAGGACTAAAGTAGGACTAAAGCAGGTCTAAACCAGGACTAAAACCAGTGATGTCATATATAAAGCATTTCTCTATCAATAATATTTTTAATATGGTTAAGGAAAGACTGGACTTTTTATTGTCTTTAAGTAGACAAAAGTTATTATGTTCAGATTTCCTCGTCTTTGCTACTTTACAACAAACAGTTTCTTATTCATGGAGACTTGGGCTCAACAGCCAATTTGGAGAGATTTGTTAAACAATAAATGACTTTATAAAGTCACTTTTTTAAATTGATATTAGTCTTTTGATCTGCCACAATAATGTAATAATGAATTTAAATGAAAATACCTCAAATTGAAGGCTTTTCTCAGCAATTTTTAGGTGAGATTAAAATGAGATTAATTAGATTAATTAATTACAGATCATAATTAATTAATCTCTCAATTTTTTTAATCGCATGACAGCACTAAGTAAAATATTAGTTTTATATTATTTTTTACAATTGTCTTGTGTCAGTTTCATGTGTGAAGATGGTGCTGTGTGAGCTGTAGTCCTGTCCCTCACGTGTAGTGTTGTGTTCAAGTGTCCTGTGGCTGTACCTGTCCGGCGCGGGTCCTTGTAGTCTGGCTGTGGCTCGATGTAAGGCTTGAGCTCCTCCTCCTCATAGCCCACGTTCATCCATCGGTCCCTCATGATCTGCTGCTGGGGGAAAGACACAAACACAGGCCGACACGCTGTCACAATGGATCCGCACAATACCCACGATACACAGAGCGCACTGAGCGCACAGAGCATGGCTGGCTGCCCCAGCCCTAGGACAGCTCTGGAGTGGGCAAGAAACACTACTCATTAGAAAGTTGGAAATTTTAAAGTGAAACGTTAAAGCGTCCAGTAAAAAGCCACACAACATAGAGGGTCACAAGGGTTGTCTCCTTGTCACAAGTTGGCCAGTACATGAGTAGATCTGTATGAAGGACTTTGTTCCAAGTGTGCATTAACTTCCCACAATGTTTCTAGTGTAAAATGGCCTTTAATTAAAACTAAGCTATTTTAAGCATAACTTGGACATTTAGAGTTAATACAGCGCCGTATTCTGTAACGTTATTCCACTCTTTCTTTGTCTTGTGTACATTCTAGCAGATGCTGTAATGGTTTCTCTCAGACTCTGGGCAGGACACTGTTTGGCACAGTGTGGAGTGTTCGCACAGCTATGTGACAGTTTTTTCCATACAAAACGCTGCACAGACTATAGTTTTCATAGTGAATCATTGTTTGAAATAATTTAATTTTCAAACATGACTGTATCTAGATATCTAATGTTGCACTGAATCATGGTGACTGTGTGAAACACAATTTTTATGTAGCATAAAAACGATAAATAAATAACAGAATAAACCAATAATTAACCGTAGAAGACTTTCTACAACTCGAATGTTATTGTATTACAAATAAAATAGCAAACTTCCCCACACTAACACAAAGAAAATGTACACAGGATAAAATATATGAAAAGTAATCCCCAGTATGCGTGTGACATGAAATCAGTGTTTCCCAATAATAGAGGAGACTATGGTGGCCCTCCATAATCTCCTCTAAAAGAAACTGTAAAAAAAAACTAACAAACAAACAAACAATAAAAAACAGTGATACAAATGATACATTATGCATCCAATACTGACAAAATCATACAGATGTTTCATTTGTTATCAGTGCTCTTTTGATCAGTGAGGGCAATAAGTGACATTTTTATTCCAGAAATAGTATTAAATAAAATGATTCACATGAGAACTGCTTGTGCCACCACAGTCTCAGTATAAACCGTTGGGAAACTGTCTCATCCTCATCACATTGTAAAATCGGCAAAGCACCAGTAGGAGGGTAGAGTGGCAGATTCCGGGCTCACCTCCAGGCTGCCTCTCTTGGACGGGTTGAGGATGAGGAACTTCTTGAGGAGGTTCTCACAGTCAGTAGACATGTAGAAGGGGATGCGGTACTTCCCACGCAGCACACGCTCTCGCAGCTCCTGGAACACACCACAGAACACAGCACAGGGTGAGGAACATGAAGAACAAGCCCACAGAGAAAACCTCAACACACCACAGATACTTTTACGTCCTCAAAGATCTCCAAACAAGTGCAATTCTAATACTTCCTGGTTTCTCTGAATATCCTAACATTTTGAGACAAAATCTATGACCTTTTAAACCTCAGATTTTGAAAGTTAGGCACCTCCCTCATTTATTCTGTATAAATCTGTACATTTTCTCTGTCCTGTTAATTTTTCCTTTTTTTTTTTAAACCCATATCCAGCTATGTTTGTTATGACACAAACAGATTATGTGATTCTCTGATACCTTAATCAGCCTGTCAATCATGCCCATCAGAAATCATTGAGCAGATCTACAATTCCAGACTATACATACCATGAATATTACACAAGAAAGTGGCGACTTGGCAGGCAAGACTGACTTGACTGATGTAAAAGTGAAAAACATTTACTATAGGTTATCTCCCCCAGCAAAGGCATAATAGAACAACTGTCATTTGCATTTGAAGTCCATTCCAAAGCCCAAAAGTGTGCTGCGATGTGCTTTTGCTCTGACTTACAGTATTGTAGTGTATGTGACTGTTCTCTTGTGCAGTGCTCACACATCCACAGTGTTAGGAGGAGGTGTGAAGCTTCACAGCCATGCAGCCTCAAAACTCATGAGTGGAGCCGCCACCGACAAACAGGACCAGGACTAAAACTAAGACTAAAACCAGGACTAAGACCAGGACTAAAACCAGGACTAAAACCAGGACTAAAACCAGGACTAAAACCAGGACTAAAACCAGGACTACCACCACTACCACTGTCACCACTACCACCAGAGGATTATCTGTGAGGAGAGCAGCTCTGAGGGACTTCATCTCCTCAGACCTGTCCACATCACTCACTGCCTTTATGTGTAAACCAGGAAAACACAATCTCTGGAATAATCTCTGACCCAGTCCAAGTTTCCTAATATGCATGTAAATGTCACATCACATAATCACATTTAGAGATGTTTGATCTCACTCAAGCACTGGTATATGTAATGGCACACTCTGATCACATTAAGAGGCATTCAACTGCACAGGGTTAAAAAAAAAGTCTGGAAAACATGAATATAATAATAATAATACATCCAGCTCCAGCTATAAGCACTATGATGCATGCATCAGGCTGCTGTGCTACAATTTTGTATATCAGTGTTTTTTGTGTATCATTGTTTTATTAAATCAGTCTCTGACCAAATCCTGTAAAATAAAAACAGTAATGCTGTAGAACGTGTTCAGATGTGTATTCGGAGAAGCAATGAGACCTCCACTACTGACTCGTGTTGTAAGTTTAAGTGAAAGTTAAATCTAACTTTAGCTACAGTGTGTTTATTTGGGGTGCAGAGAGCTCATTACTTGTGAACATGATTACTGTCATGTCTAAAGATCAAATCAGTTTCTGAGCAATTCTAGCTAAGCTTCAGCACTTTCTTAGATGCCCCTAAATGTGTATTAGCCCTTCATATGTACTATTGTCTCTTTGTATTCTTTGAGCGGCTGTAGACTGGGACAAGTGTGGTCTCCTTGGCTCTGTGCATGTAAACACAGTGCCTGCTAGCACGGCCTTTCATCACAGCGGGCCTTGTCCTCATCATGCACTGGACTATGGACTGATCCACTGGACACTTGAGTTGTGTGGTTGGGTTCAGAGCACTTTCTGCATTGGGATGTTTACAAGATGGGCACGTGTCCATCTCTGCACCCACCGAGCATAGGACTGGGGCAAGTGGGCTTCTCACCAGGAAGATATCCATCAAGTCTGTTTGACTCATTCTCTCCCCATGTTTCAGTGTGCTGTATTAGATCACTGTTAACATACAGTGAAACTGAAACACAGTTTTTTATTGGATTCTATTGTATGAAATAAAAAAACAATAAAAATGTCTGTTCCCATCAAGTCGTTATAATTTTGTTCACTGTAATCTGTGAAACATATGGGTGATTATTCGACAGTTTGAACATTTTAAATGCATCACAATATCGATCTAGGCGACTTAATAAAAGAACCAAATGAGTTGACTTCTGGGTAGGAAATTGCCATGCTGTGAGCATTATCCACGCCACAGTAAACAGACGAGTGCTTAGAGTGCTGTGTTTGTGAAACAGTCTGATTCATACCAGAGCCTGGATTAGGACAGCCCTCTTCCTTATTTGGATATTTGAGGGTACACTTTTCCACCTGCTGGTCTCCATGGAAATAATAATTGTGTGAATGTTCCATAGTATGGCATTAAACTTATCAGTTTCCAATGGGACAAGCAGGTTATGCCACCAGCCTGAACAAGTTATAGATCACATGATCATTGGAGGTGTTTTTCCAAGTTATTTTTGAGCAATAAAAATGCCATTTTACTTTGGAATGTCGCAGAAGCAAAGCAATAACATCTCCATGGAGACAAAGTTCCATACCTTTAGAGAAGGGGTATTACAATTCTTCTTTTACACTTTTGTTTTTGAGTCTGCCCTCCCTTTGCTCTCCATGTTAAGTCACCTCCCCTTCAGAGTCACATCACAACACAATCAGCGTGCATCCCGCTAATGAAACTACTCACATCACATCAGATTTTTGAAGTTCTGGAGAATTGTCATGTGGGAGCATGGATGATGTTGTAGCTTGTGGGCTGAGAATTACACAAATAACCAGAAGAGGAAATGGCTAGAATATTCAAACATGCATGAATGAATGGATCCAAAACATCTTCAGGCATGTTTCTGATGAGGGAACAACATTATAACACGGAAGAAAGCTTTAAAAAAAAATAAAATTGTATAATACCCCTTGTTCGAGTTGTAATTCTACTTTAGAGTATGTGACCTGTGGTGGCAGGTGAAAGCATACAGAGCAGCAGAGAAAGGGAGGGTGCGCACCTTGAGGTTCTGTCCGTCGAAGGGTAGAGAGCCGCTGACGAGAGTGTAAAGGATGACCCCCAGGCTCCACACGTCCACCTCGGGCCCGTCGTACTTCTTCCCCTGGAACAACTCTGGGGCAGCATACGGAGGAGAGCCACAGAACGTGTCCAGCTTATTTCCCAAGGTGAACTCATTACTGAAGCCAAAGTCTGCAATCTTTATGTTCATGTCTGCGTCCAACAGCAGGTTCTCCGCCTGCAGGGACAGAGGGACAGAGGGACCGGAGAGGGGACGAGGGGACGAGGTGGAAAGGTGGACGGGGTGAACAGGGGTGGACAGGTGGGCGGGACAGGGGGACAAGGGGACAGTGGGACAGAAGATCAGAGGATAGAGAGAGAATGAGAACAAGATATCATGAGCTCAAACACATGCAGAGGAGCTAATCCTCTATAAAGCACTAGAGCAGGGCTTGGTTCTCCACAGGAGCAGGAGACAGAGCTGGGACATGGACAGGAGTAGAACATGGGCTTAGGCGGGCTCATCAAAGCTGGAGCAGATCTGTAGGTGCCAGAGGAGGGGGATAGGAATATGACCATGATGTATCTCACAAAATACATACAGTATAGGGACACAACAATAGAGTTTTCCCACGATTCGATGCACATCTCGACACATGGTATTACATGATATTAATTTGATGATATTCATTTCGATATGTTTTAAGATGTAGAAAAAAATTTATGTTATTTTTTCAGCAAATGTGTATAATATATACACCTAAACACTGATTAATGAAACATCACATTTGAATACATTACAGCACAACTGCTGTAAAGTATTCTATATGGGAAGTGTTTTAGTTCATTTGGTTCAGTGATTTACAGCTCAGAATTTTTATTCAGTGAAAATAAAAATTGTGCTTAAGGAGGTCAGTTTTTTTTTATAATATAATCTTAATATACTGTTAGGGGAAATACAAGGTCAGACAGATGATTTATTTTTGATTATTTCTTTTTTTTTTTCCTTCTCCCACTATGTTCACATGCCCGTATCCAAGCTGCTCTCCTCATCTCCAGCAGCAGCTCTTCCCTACTCCCTCCTTTGTCATTTCTAGGTTTATCAACATAAAATAGAAAATGACTAAAACTTAAAACCCACCTCTGTTTACCCGCTGTGATCTGGGAAGGATGGTGCATTAATGGTTTCCTTTCCGGACCAAAATAAATGACAACACAGCGCACATGGAGGCACACGTTCATATCTAATGAACAAGTGTATCGAATCGTGACACCAGTACTGAACGATTCAATATTATATTGAATATCGTTGCATCCTAACGACAGAGTGACTCTGATGTGCCAAGTCAGTATACTGAGCACTGAGCCAGAGGACTGGTCTCTGAAACTGCATTTCTGTGCTGTACTGAGGCCTACATCACCAGATGTATAATGTCATATAAAGGCAGACTAAAACTACTAAACTGGACAGGACATCACTTTCAAAATATTCTGAGGGTTCATGTCTCTGTGCTGAGACCTGGATGGATGTTTAAAAAAAATAAAATAAAATCTGTGTTAGAACTCCAGCCTCATGTCTCTTCTTTCAACTCAAGCAAGAGAGATAGATGGGGTGAGGGAGAGAGGGAGAGCGAGAGAGCAAGAGAGAGAGCAAGCATGGGGTTGCCTGGCAACAGGTGCACTCTCTCTGCTCTTCTCTGCAGACTGATGGAGCTTCAGGACTGAGGGAGCGCTCCACACTGCTGAAAGAGGCCTGTGGCAGCGGTCAGCTCCACACAGGCAATCTCCAGCAGTTCAGACTACAGCACAGAGCACGCAGGCTCACAAACCAGTTCAGACTACAGCACAGAGCACGCAGGCTCACAAACCAGTTCAGACTACAGCACAGAGCACGCAGGCTCACAAACCAGTTCGGACTACAGCACAGAGCACGCAGGCTCACAAATCAAGCACAGAGGAGGACAGAGAGGGAAAGAGGAGGCTCACCTTCAGGTCCCTGTGGACTATACACTTTTGATGGCAATACTGCACTGCTGACACAATCTGCACAAAAGAACAGACACAGTTTAGAGGTTATGACCTTCACTTCAAAATCAATAAACACCTTTTACAGCATGCAGCAGTAACAGTGTGGTCACATGTGTGAGTATGAGAGAGGTCTGCCTCAGATCACATGTGAGTATGAGAGAGGTCTGCCTCAGATCACATGTGAGTATGAGAGAGGTCTGCCTCAGATCACATGTGAGTATGAGAGAGGTCTACCTCAGATCACATGTGGGTATGAGAGAGGTCTACCTCAGATCACATGTGGGTATGAGAGGTCTACCTCAGATCACATGTGGGTATGAGAGAGATCTACCTCAGATCACATGTGAGAATGAGAGGGGTCTACTTCAGCTCTCATGTGAGTATGAGAGATCTACCTCAGATCACATGTGAGAATGAGAGGGGTCTACTTCAGCTCTCATGTGAGTATGAGAGAGGTCTACCTCAGAGATCAGAGGTGTGAGTATGAGAGAGATCTGCCTCAGATCTCATGTGAACACATGTAATACAGTACATGAGCTCAGCTCATCACACATCTACCCAGTGCTAGTGCAAAGTAGTGCTTCTATGGAAGGGAAGTCGATATGCTAAACATCTTTTTCATGAGATCATCATTCATGTAGACTCTGAATCTTTATATTGCCTACTTTATATTGCTTCTTCTGAAAGCTGTTTGTGTTTGACATCATTTTCTCCTGAATGCAGCTCTATGCTCAATTTTGCCCAAAAAGCAGATTGTCACCAGAATGAGATCTTGATTTCATGTTTATCAACATATCGCCCAGCCCTACCTCTGTGTCCTATTTATTTTGTTGTCTTCTAATGTAACTAAACTGTAAGCACATAGGGGTCTATACCTGTAGAAAGCACTATGTATTAGTGTACTTGTCTTTATACTCATATGTAGTGCATGATTCTGAAAACAGATTTGTTGACATGTTGTTGTGTGAGCCAGAGGCTCTTCAGACCTGTCTGAACTTGGCACGGGCCTCCTTCTCCTTCATGCGGCCGTGGGCCACCAAGTAATCGAACACCTCTCCTGAGGAGCACACAAAGGACACAGTGAGATACAGAGGAACACCATTCTTCTGACAGAACTGATCATCTTTCACCATTTACAAACACTAAAGGAGGAACAGGAACACAGGGAACTCTCTACTGCTCTTCATTCTGTGTTAGGATTGTCAAAAGGATCCAAAATTAGATACGAATCCACCTTAAAACTAGTATCCAAACTAGTGATGCACCCATCCAGTTTTATCAGTTCTGATTCTGATACTATACTTTAAGATCTGATATAAACCAATACCAGAGCTGAGACCGCATTTATTTTCTTAAAACAAAAATAAAATAAGACAAAGCTGATCCAATGTATTATAGTTGTTATTTATCTCAAGCAACTTCAGAACAGCTTTGTGCAAATAAAAGTTACATTGCATATGTCCAACCAGGACATCGGCAAAACTGACATTTGGATGCTAATATCTGATCTAGAAAAGATTTCAGTATCGGCACCAATATCCGATACCAGTATCGTATGAGTGCATCCTTAATTGAAACAAGATACTCATTTGAGCAGGTATCCATACCAAAAAACTTTCATAGAACTGAAATTAACCTTTTCCTGAATGAATAGAACCTACCTGGATGACAGAGACATTACACAGATATAAGGCCTCATGGGAAAAGAAAAGAAAGTACTACCATTTAATGTGAAAAAATCACATTCTATTGTCTAAATAGTTTTTAATTATCATGGTGGTATCAAAGTAGGTATTGAGTATTGAGTCTATTCCTTAGTATTGAAAGAGAACACTAGTCTGTTGTAGCTCAGTAAAACAGTAATGGCACTCCTCTCATAAGACACACTTGTCTCAAAAGAGCACAGTCGTAAAGTCCATTCAGAAATTAAACACAGAACATATCCACTCGTCTATCCAGTGTTTCAAAAGGTTTATACTGAGACTGTGGTGGCACGATCGATCCATGTTTGAATAATTTTAAATCTAACATTTAAGGAGTAAAATGACACTTATTGCCCCCTTTTCAAAAGATCAAAAGAGAACTGATGAAATACAGTTATTTATGTATTATGACAATACTGAAAGCATAAAGGAGCATTTGTATCACCGACTTATGTTCAGATTCTTTTTAGACTATTAAAGGCCACTATTCAAAATCGATTTTGGTTTCAAGGAACAGACTTGATACTCGAAACTGATTCTGATACCACAATGATAATAAAAAAACATTTTATTTAAACAAAAGAATGTAATTTTCAACATTAAAAGGCAGTACTTTCTTTTATATTGCCATGTGGTTTTAAATCTCTTTAATAGTCCAGGTAGGTTCCACAGTGGTCCATGGGTGTATACACATGTGTCTATGTGCTCTTGTACTTGTTCTGATACAGCCCCAGATCAATCTAAACCTTCATGAAAGGTTCATTTCTGTCCTGTGGAATGTATTTTTTAGTATCGATACCTTTTCTTTTTTTTCAATAACTTTTGACATCCTTAGTTTGGAATCTGGCATGAGTGTTGCTCATTTTATATGACACCACATTAGTTAGTGCCAAAGGGCCAGTGGAGCTGCAACAGGTCTATGTGCATGATGTAAAGACAGCAGTACAGTGTGATAAGTGGGTGGCTGGGGTGAGACCTGACAGACAGGTTAGTGCATTGTGCTGTAGGAACAAAAGGACTGGAACAGCTCGCACAGCCAGCCTGAGGGGGAGTGATTTGTGAGTGACACTCACCTCCACTGGCGTACTCCATGACCAGGTACAGCGTCTTCTCTGTCTCGATCACCTCGAAGAGCTTCACTGTAGGAGAGAAGAGCATACACTAGTCCTGATACTACTACTACCACCACTACAGTTAAAACTACCACTGCTACTACTGCTACTACTGCTACTACTACTGCTACTGCTACTGCTACTGCTACTGCTACTGCTACTGCTACTACTACTACTACTACTACTACTGCTACTGCTACTACTACTACTACTACTACTACTACTACTGCTACTACTACTGCTACTACTGCTACTACTGTTAACCCTATAACAGTTAACACTACAACTACCACTGGTATTATTATTACTACCACTGTAGTTACCACAACAGCTGTGGTCACACAATGCTCACCTATGTTGGGGTGGTTCAACATCTTCATGATCCTCACCTCCCGGAAGAGCTAAAAAACCAAACATTAGAATGTGAATGCACAGCACATTCAGTCCCACTACCCACTTAGACCAGTTGAATTTTATACTAGGTCCTCCCAACCCTTGTAATGTAACAATCAAGACAAATATCTAATGGGGTTGCCAGTTTCAATGCTGGAATCCATTGTGTTTAAACCTAAAATGTCTTTCTCTGATCTGAGTGGTCTCCCCAGCACCAGTACTAGACATGAATCAGTGCTAGTGCAGCCTCTGCAGCTCAGGGAGGGAACTGTGGAGGTTCTGATTTTTCACATGAGGCCTGTCCATATACTGAAAATGAAAAAGTCGAGTGGAGTTGAACTGCAACGATTTGTCAATATATTCAACAATGCAGATTTGGAAAATACATTGGCGGCTGTAGAGCGCGTCGATGCCTCACTTTAAGAGTGGAGTTTTTAATTACTTAGTCAGATATAATAGGAACAAGAGAGCTCTGTATTTCCACACAAAAACGGCAGTGCATGTGCAAGACACACACAATAGACTATCAAAAGAGTACAGGTACCTAGTACTGTGGGCTGTGTACAGGGCGCAGCGTGGGCAGCATACAGGTGCAACCCAGAGTGTATCTGCGCACTGTAGACTGTACACTACACGTTGAGCGCAGCGCAGAACGCTGTCAGGTGTTCTTTAAACACCCATCGGTCTGACTATAACTGGAGTTTTGCAGAACTGCCGGTATATTCCAGCGTTTAGCAGCATTTGACGTCCTTGTCTTGAACATTATAACTTTACTGTCTTACATGACACAATTACATAATCAGCATGTTCCTATGAGACAAAATACACTTTTTATTAGTCTAAATAATAAAAATAATAATCTTTATAGAAAATTTTGAACAAATTGCTCTATAAAGTCATAAAAAGTTATAATTTAATTAACTGATTCACTGAAAAAATAGTTGATAGATTAGTCGATGAATCAAAACATAAGTCGTTAGATTAATCAATAAGAAAATAATCGTTAATTTCAGCCCTAGAATGCAGGCTACATACAGTAATTATTGTCTTCTTCATCACATTTAGTACTATTATTGTTTATTGCCCCATCCCTCTTTGGGACCAAACCTCAACTAGACTGGACTAGAAACTAGAACTAAACTAGAACTAAACCAGCATAAAGGTGGATGTCTTCCAGAATGGCCATGAGAGTGGACTGAGATGCAGAGGCGCTTCCTGTCCTGTTGAGGGGAGGATCATGTGACGAGGCAAGGGGGCGTGGACTGTAGACTGTCCCATTGAGAGACGGGTCATGTGACGAGGCAAGGGGGCATGGCCTGCTATTCTGAGCTGTGGTGGTGTCTGTGCTGTGAGCGTGCCCCACCCAGCACCATCAAACGCTCTAATTGCACCCTATTTCCCCTCATTAAAAGTCACTGGGAGAGAGAAGCCACTTAAAAGAACACAGGGAACACAGGGACACGGGGGGGAAGGACAGGGACAGAAGAGGGCAGAGACAAAGAGGACAGGGAGAGAGAGGGATACAGAATAACAGGGAAGAAGGGAAAGAAGAAGACAGGGACAAAGAAGGACAGAGACAAGAGGACATTGGACCAGTAGAAGTGAGGCTAAAGTCCAGGTGTTGACAGACTTTACCTTCTGCAGACTGGAGGAGTTGAGCTGTGTCTTATCAATAATCTTTACAGCCACCTACAACAACAAACAGCACTGTTATTACACAAGGCTCCATCATATACACCTGCGTGAAGTTGGCCCCCCATCAAACACACACCTACACAAAAACTATGTCCATTGTTGTTTTGTGCTGCAAAACATTTGGTTTGTGCTGCTTTAGTTTTAGAGATATTAATGATTATTTTAAAGGTCAAATTAGGGTCAGCCAGCCTCCCACACGAAGCTACAAACAGCTCTAAAATGGCCCAAAATGGTGTCAATCACTTGTGCTTCGTTTGTGCTTAAAAAGTTTTGTTTGTGCCATTCTGGTTCTTAAGATATTAGCAGTTTTATTTTGGGCCGATGACATCACCCAGTCGCTCAAAATGTTAAACAGCCTCAAAACAGCCACAGCCCACCCCCTAATCTATTCCAATAAATTATTTTCAATAGTATCATTTATCTCATTATTTCTCTGTAGATATATCAAAATGTGTTATGGTGACAGGCCTAACCAAACTGTAACCTATTTGAACGATATATAAAGAAGTGGACTGAGGGAGGCAGCCAAATGAAGCTGAGCCGACGTATTTGGAATTCCGACCACAACTATCATAAAAACCAAAGAGCCAATCCAGAGTAAGGCTGTTGAAGGCCACGCCCCTTTCCACCTGCACTGCTGGTTTAGCAGGGAGCTGGCGCTTAGCAACAGTGTCAATCAACCCTGTTCCTAACAACAACTGGACCCAAGGCACCTGATTTGTCTGTTATTAGTCTTCATAACAGGATCATGTCAAGCAGGTTAAAATGAACATTTGAAAACCAAAATGACAAGCCTGACAGCAGAAGTTACAGAGAGAGGCTGTGGTTTGACAGAAAGTGAACTGGAGCCAGAGTTGATAGAGGTAGAAGTGTGACCATGTTCAATTCCTGTTTGGAATGTAGTGGCTAACAGTTTAGTCTATGATTTGAACATAAATGTTACTGATAATAAAGAATTTTTTATGGGAGCCAGATTTTTGCACACTCATTATGTGTGTGTGTGTACAGGTTTTAGTCGGCAGACTGTGAGAAATCCCCCCACACACAGACACACACACACTTAATAATAATGGAGCATGTGAGTGAGGATGGCATAGAGCACAGTGAGCAGGAGCAGAGAGCATTCAGAGCTGCACTGGAGGAGGTCACCACGGAACCACAATGTAATAAGCCCTTTCATTTGTCAAGGCTAAAGTGTGCACACACCAATGCTTCTTCAACTGCCAACCAGTGCTACCCTTTAAATAAAAAAAAAGCTTCTTTTGTCTTGTACACCATTCAAACTGTTCAAACCATGACATTTGAATGGTGCAGTCAGAAATGATGTTAGCCATTGGCTTTGTTAGCCAGAAGTTCAGAACATAGTCAGTGATTATTGATCAGTAACTCATCTAGTCTTTAATCAGTGATCGATTTGAGGAAGACTCAGCAGGTTCCTTGCAGCCCTTTACACACATACACTTTCAGATGGACTTCAGCCTCCTTACATGTGGAGCACTGGACTGTTCGTACACAGTGACGCCCACTTTCCCCACCCGGGGGTGTTACTTCCGGTTCCTAGTGCTGAGTGTGGGCCGACTGTTTGTCCAGAGCAACAGCGGCTATGTGCAGCCTGTTCTGATGCCAGAGGAGGGCGCAGTGCATAAAGCGCTCTATGTGCTTTTGTTTCACTTTTTCTGTCATATTTAAGGTGTGGATAGATGTAAGACCTGTGCTGAAAATACAAGCCTGTTTACTGGGTGTGAAGAATGCTGCTCATTTCACTGAGAGCTTTGAGTTGTTCGCCAGTATTGATATATTGTTAAATGTACCATGCATTTTCCTGGCATGTTTGCACAGCACGGAGTGGGATAAGAGCCGGACAGCACCCAGAGATCACCTCTATGGGCTGTTTGTAAAGATCAACAGTGGAATATCAAACTGAAATTCAGTCAATACAGTAGAGAGTTGTGCACAGACAGCCAACTGGATAGGAGTGGTTCAATGTAGATTGTTTGACAAAACTGGCTTGAAGCACTGTTCTTTATCCTAATGTGAGTTTAAAATCCTCTTTTGTGGTTGGACTCAGTAAACTCATGTTAGGGTAAAGTGCTTCAAGACAGTTGTATCAAATGTAAAATTGCTTCTGGATGGAGCTGAAACATCTTGATCGCAAAAACAATGTCTAGAAACCGTCTCTACAAGGGCTCCAGGTCAGTTATTCTCAGGAAGGGTTGTGAGCCGTAGTGTGTGTACCTCTTTGCCGGTGAGCACATGACGGGCCAGTTTGACCTTGGCGAAGTTGCCTTTGCCAATGGTTTTGAGCAGGCGGTAGTTGCCGATGTGTGGCTGGTCTCCCTCTGTGGCCACAGAGTTCCTGCAGCGGGCCATGCTGGAGCGGCTGGACGAAGATTTGGACTCCTAGACACACAAGCGCAGAGCAGTCAATATTTATCATGGTTTTCCTGTTTGTAAAAATACTGTTGAAAAAAAAGTACAAAAATACAGGAAGTAGAAGTGAGTTCTGAAACCAAATTCCTCTCCCAATGTCATCAGCTGTCATTGAGTCCACCCAAAATGCAGAGACAACTTTCACACATGGAAGGCACTTTTCTGATACTTTATCAAATAAATGTTGTCATTCATTTTTATTAGTTTTGGCCCTCATTAACATTATGGTTGCTAGACAACAGTCTACATTTGTCATGTCTGCTGTCCAAACAGGAAGTATAATTGTTGCCAAAATGTTGCCAAAATTTTAAACCTATTTAACATATAATTTCATGTTTTGGGAGCATGTCATTTCCATGCCCCATTTACTTGACTGATGGTTGAAGAGGGCCTGTCTATAAGTCTACCAAGGCTTTTAGATGGTTACAGCTGTAGTGTTAAAAGGAAAGTTAGTGCATACTTGAGCTGTAGTTCACTAAAGAAACTCTTGGAGAACAAAATCTTCAGCTCACTCACTCACCTCTCCTGTCCTATAGAAATCCTTATCAAAATAAAATGGTTAGTTGACCAATACACATTTTGGTCAACTAAGTCTCCATTGGCTGATTAATCAACTAAATGACTAAAGGCATATAGCTCTAGTGCATACATTAGTAGCACTCCCATGGCCCTGCTCCCTCTGACCCAGGACCCCAGGCCCCTCCCCTCTCCTGCCGCCCCTCTCCTGCCCCTCTCCTGCCGCCCCTCTCCTGCCGCCCCTCTCCTGCCGCCCCTCTCCTGCCGTCCCTCTCCTGCCGCCCCTCTCCTGCCACCCCTCTCCTGCCACCCCTCTCCTGCCACCCCTCTCCTGCCACCCCTCTCTGCTGTGTCCTGCATGAGGGAGGGCCTGCAGTATAATTATAGAAGTGTGGGACAATAAGTGACATCAGTGTTGTGTTCTCACATTACTGTGTGCTGGTGTGACACAGGCCTAGAGCACACTCCAGCACAGCTCCACTCTGTTCACCTCTGCAGCACCTACTAATGCACACTTAACGATGCACTATATAGTTCCACAATAAACTACCTAAGAAATTTAATTCACAATGGTCTTGGAGACAAAATCATCTCTTCATAGTGCCTTTAAGAGGTGCAAAGGTTCTGAAAACCTCACTGTGCCTGGAATGTTCAGCATTATGGTATTAAATCACTCCTATGAGCTTTAAGCTGATAATGTTGTGATAATGTTGTTACCTCCTCAAAAACATCCCTGCAATTCTGTTTTATTTCATTCACGCATTGAGTAATTCTTTATTATGTCTACACCTACAAAGTTCAAAATCATCTGTTCCACCTTGTGATGTCACAGTAGTAGCAGGTTGAGATGTCGCAGTAGTTTGAGTTAAGCTTAACCTTTTACCTTTTGTTCAGAGATTAGTAATTCTAGGGTTGGACTCATCCAAATGATTCTAGTGAAGACGTGTGGACTATTATGATCACAAGTTTGAGAGAAGAACTAAGCCTAAATATACAGGGTTTGTGTGTTAAACAAGTGTGAATGAAACAAAACAAAACTCTGAAACTCAGATGATGAAACAACATTATAAGAGAGCTCAGTAAATAGAGTAAAATGTGCCTTTGACCATATTTCTTGCATTTGTTCAATGACATGTGTATTGCTTAAAAATGCTTTGAAAAACATACATTGTTACTGTGAGCATGGTCGCCTCTTCCCAGATTTGACCTGTAACTTGGACTGGAGGTGTCTGTCTCCATGGAGATAAATAAATGTAATGCCATACTGTGGAACATTCAGGGCAAAACATCCAATAACATCTCAATGAAGACAAGCAGAAGGTGGAACTTGGACCAGAAAAGGTAAGGTAAAAGGTAGGAAATACATGTTTTATTGCATGCTTTGTAAAATAGGAACTGTATAGCATGCCTGAAGTCCATTACGCAAAGTGTGACAATTTTTTGTCAAAACACCCCTATGGCAAGAGCCTCTCATCAAGCGTAAAAGAAGACCACAAACCTATGTAGGACTTACGATTTTATATCATGAACAAAATGAATTGAAAGTGTGAAAACACTGCTAAAAATGGAGAAATCAGATAAGAGTGAGTGGCATGAAATAAAAAAAAAAAAGTCATAAACAACTGACAAGACATGCAGGCAACAGAATAACAGCATCTGTTTATGTGGACTTTGCCAGAGATTCTGTGATTGACCTAAAGGCCATTAGGCTGATTTTCTACTTTGCCTGAAACATATGCAATAACTTGAATCACAATATGACACAATAGCATACTGTCAAAAGACTTACATCGCAGTAAAAAAGCTTCTCATCACAGCCAGCCCCATATGCAATACTGCCATTTTCACTACTGAATGAATGGGTTTACTCTCCATTAGCTCGATATGCTCGCTACTTCTGAACCAGATCAAGTATCACAGGTATCATATCAATAACTACTCAAATCTACTTTTGGTACTTTTACAACTGAGTTTTTGACCACCTAGTCCCTAGTGTGCAATGCCATTAAGCTGGCTGTATGTAAAATAATGAAAGTCTATTATTTTTACACTACACCAGACACCAGTGAAAGGGTTAAACCGGCGCACAGGGCGAGAGGGTGAGAGGGCCATCAGTAAACAGCCCATCTGTGTTAATACAAAAGAATGACAGTCTCACTGCTCCTGATCACATGACTCTCTCCTCAGCCAGCACTCACCCACAATGCACTGCTCTCATCCACTGTGTTCATGCACAGCAGGAAAACCAGAGAACTGGCCTAGTCAAATTTAAACTGATTCATACAAATATATGTGGAGACGGAGTCTTCAGGAGCATCTAGTAGTTTAGTATTAGCACTAAAACAGTGCAGCAATGATTGCTAATAAAACAGCTAACAGATACAGATAAGTGACGACTCATCCTTTGAGCATTTGATTGTTTAAATTAAACACATTTATCCTCTGGTAATTTTTACTTTCATTGTTTTGGTCTGCTATGTTAAAGGGAAACAAGTTAGTGTGTGGTAGATTGGCCGTTCAGATCAAAAAATGAGTGAGCACAAACACATGGGTCAATGATGTTTAAGGTACAAAAAATATATTAAAAATGTGACAAAATATTAAATACATTGTTTGGGATGCTAATTTAAGTGACTAAGTGACGAAAATTGTATTTGGATTTATTTTATACATTTTTCAACATATCTATCCATCCTTGTCAACTCCAGATATGTTTGTCACGACTCCTCCAATCACAGTTCTGCATTTACTGCAGAAATTCATAGGGACGTTATGTATCATATCTGTTACTCAAGGGCCCGGTCAAGCAGAAGTAAACAGCAAGGCCAAAAATTCAAGTTAATGCATCTGATATAAAAATGTATTGAACAGATACATATGTACTCTAGTTTATGAAACTCTTTACCTTTTTTCTGTACCATTTTTGGTTCTAAAGTTCCATATGTTTTAAACAGACCATGTATGAAACATGGAACAAAAATTATTTCCCAAATTTCAAAGACCCAAAAATCATGTAAATAAATGGATGTATTTCAACATATCTTGTGTTATTCCATCTTTGAACTGTTGATGAAGGTACATGATTTTTTTTTTTATGTATTTAAAATGATAAAAAATAGCTTGGAACGACTGACATATTTTATAGAAATAGTTTCCTTTCATTTTGAAGTAATATTAAAGTTTTCGGAAGAAAAAAGCGACAAATGATGCAAAATCATGCACCTTCTACTTGCTTGCACAATTTTCCCTCCGTTACCATGACCTTTCTTAATAAAAAAATCTCATGACTCAAAAAGTAAGAGGTTTTTTAACCTAATCTTGTACCATATGGTAGAAAACTATATGAAGCAAATATTCAAACCAGTTTGTTAAGGATATGTAAGTGAGAACCGCTAGTTATCACTGTTTGAATTTATTGCCCAAAAAGTGCTGCATATTTCATTCCCTCCGTTACCAACATGAGTTTTTAAAATTTTTTGTCAACAACTTGAAAGAATATCACAGGTTTAACTTTACCCTGTTGGAGTGTTAACTCTTTCCTACATTCTGATACTTTACTTATTTCAATAGTCTCTCTAGTTTCTGAATAAGAGCTATTTGAATGACAAAAAACTGCCCCTGCCCCTGATACTTCAATGTAGTCAATATGTGGCATCGATATTGGCCCCTCAAACCCCCGCCGGCACTGCCCCTGGCACTGCCCCAGTCTGTGGGTGTCCATGTGTCCCAGTTTGTTCTTAGTGCATCAGATTATTCTTCTGATGCAGACTAAATCATTGAAAAAAGTTTATATCCCAGAGAAAAACATTTTATTATCTTTACAAAAGTGATTATCATTTAGATACTTCACTATAACTACCCCTAGTTTTGGTTTACTCTGTACGTAAACCATGTAAGATTTGAAAAGCTCATTTACTCAAAACATCCACGTGACCATCCGCAGAAATCCAGCTGAAATGAGACTAGGCCAGAGGTGTGCTTGTGCTGGTGCATGTACACACTGTGTGCGGTGTGAGTGGATCAGACTGCAGGGGAAACACTCCACTTAGTGTACGTGTTCATTTAGTGTACGTGTTAATGAGACGACAGAGCATCTAAGCACAAGAGTGTCACATGACCTGCATGCTCTTAACACAGCTCTGCACACACACACTGCACTCTTATCAGGCATGTGGTGGGGGTGACAGATGGTGAAAAGTATTGGAGCACAGGCCTCACAAAGAAGAACCAAGGGCAAACTCACACAGGCACAACTCTGCACTATAACATATGAACAAAGTTAGACCTGCATTAGTATAAACAGTGTTTCATAAGAACAAATTGGAACACTATAGGCAAGGCAAGATGTGTGTACAATCCCTCATCCATCCAGGTAGAATCCTTGGCAAAGGAGAAATTCAATTTGTCAACCGGTCAGACGCTGGAGGACACTATCTTATATCGGCCTTAAGGGA